CATGTGGCGCACTGGTGGTCACCTGACGGCGAGCGGCTGGCGTTTCTGGTCCTAAATGACAGTCTGGTGCCAAACATGGTGTTGCCCTCTTTCACTGGCTCTACGTACCCGAAAGGCAAACAGTACCCGTATCCGAAGGTAAGTGTCTCCAACCCGGGTCTCTCACACCAAAGGCATGTGTCTTATCCACTTCGCCATCACAAATATATCAAATATTTATATTTGTATATAATATAAATGTTTAAATATATATACAGTATATACACTACCGGTCAAAAGTTTTAGATCAGTAAGATTTTTTTTAGGTTTTAAATGAAGTCTCTTCTGCTCACCAAGGCACACACATGACAAACAGTAATATTGTGAAATATTATGACAATTTAAAATGACTGTTTTCTATTTTAAAATGTAATTTGAAAGCTGAATTTTCCACATCATTACTGTTGCTGATTACACATCAGTTTTCAGTGTCACATGATCCTTCAGAAATCATTCTAATATGCTGATTTTATGCTCAAAAAACATAAATGATTATTTTCAATGTTGAAAACAGTCGTGTACCAAAAAAATTCTGTGATGAATAGAAAGTTCAAAAGAACAGCATTTATTTAAAATATAATCTTTACTGTAACTTTTGATCAATTTAACTCATCCTTGATGAATAAAAGTATTTTCTAATTTCTTTCCCCCAAAAATAAAAAATAAATTCTTACTGACCCCAAACTTTTGAATGGTAGTGATTAATGTTACAAAAGCTTAATTTCCATTTCAGATCAATTCTGTTCTTTTGAACTTTCTATTCATCAAAGAATCCTGAAATAAAAATGTAAAAAACTGTTTTCAACATGGATAATAATCATAAATGTTTCTTGAGCCTCATATTAGAGTGATTTCTGTAGGATCATGTGACACTGAAGACTGGAGTTATGCTGCTGTAAATTCAGCTTTGATCACAGGAATAAATTACACTTCACTATATATTCACATAGAAAACCGCTGATTTAAATAGTAATAATATTTCACAATATTACTGTTTTTTTTGTATTTTTTATCAAATAATTGCAGCCTTGGTGAGCAGAAGAGACTTCTTTTAAAAACATAAAACCGATCTAAAACTTTTGACCGGTAGTGTACATACAAATATTTCCTTAATAGATACATGCATATGTGTGTATTTATATATACAATATAATTATACTGTATATACATTTAATTGTAAGTGTTGACGTGTGTTGTGTTTGCAGGCTGGGCAACCCAATCCAATGGTCAAACTATTTGTAGTCAACCTGTACGGCCCGACACACACGCTAGAACTCACACCACCAGATGAACTCAAGCTCAGGTATAGTGTTGGTGTGTGTGTGTGTGTGTGTGTGTGATGGAGACTGGAGCAGGTGTGTGACGCTCTCTGTCTGTAGGGAACACTATGTGGTGATGGTGAAGTGGATCAGTAAGACCAAGACAGCAGTGCGCTGGTTAAACCGACCGCAGAACGTCTCCATTCTGACGGTGTGTGACTCCACCACTGGAGCCTGCATCAAGGTACACACACACATGCACACATGCACACTACTCACACATTCATTTACACACGCTCACAAGCACACTCGCACACGCTCAAACATACATGTACTCACACACAAGCACTCGTATGCACACACACACACACACACAAGTACTCACACATGCAAAACACACATGTACTCACACACACACACACACAAGTACTCACACATGCAAAACGCATGTACTCACACACACACACACACACACACACACACACACACACAAGTACTCACACATGCAAAACGCATGTACTCACACACACACACACACACACACGCACACACACACACACACACACAAGTACTCACACACACACACACAAGTACTCACACATGCAAAACGCATGTACTCACACACACACACACACACACACACAAGTACTCACACATGCAAAACGCATGTACTCACACACACACACACACACACACACACACACACGCACACACACACAAGTACTCACACACACACACACACACAAGTACTCACACATGCAAAACGCATGTACTCACACACACACACACACACACACACACACACACACACAAGTACTCACACATGCAAAACGCATGTACTCACACACACACACACACACACACACACACACACACACAAGTACTCACACATGCAAAACGCATGTACTCACACACACACACACACACACACACACACACACGCACACACACACACACACACACACACAAGTACTCACACACACACACACAAGTACTCACACATGCAAAACGCATGTACTCACACACACACACACACACACACACACAAGTACTCACACATGCAAAACGCATGTACTCACACACACACACACAAGTACTCACACATGCAAAACGCATGTACTCACACACACACACACACACGCACACACACACACACAAGTACTCACACATGCAAAACACATGTACTCACACACACACACACACACACACACACAAGTACTCACACACACACACACACTCACTCATCCACTCTAACACACAAGTACTCGCACACTCACAAACACACATGCATAAGCATTGTATACAAAAGTACATTCACACACACACACTCTCACACACACAAACACACGCACACACATATTGACAAATCCTCAGACTAACCCTCGAGCTGATGATGACGGTGATGATGTTTCGTTTCAGAGGCATGAGGAAACATCAGAAGTTTGGCTCTCGAAACAGGTGAATCTCCACTAGATGTTTGCATGCTGATCTTCAGTCTCATGAGTTTAACTCCATGGCTGGTTCTCTGCTCCAGAACCAGGAGCCGTTCTTCTCACGGGACGGCAGCCGCTTCTTCCTGACGGTGCCGGTGAAGCAGGGGGGACGCGGAGACTTTCACCACATCGCCATGTTCACCTCTCAGGTACAGCTGGACGCTAGCAGCAGGGCTTGACATGAACACTCGACGAACACGTTTCTATGTTTACTCACTGTCTTTGCTGGGGAAGTTCGTGGAAGCCAAATCTGCACAGATTTAGAGCAAATCCTCAACTCGTGAGACATAATGATGTATTAAAGGAATATTAAAATTATATTAAATATTAATTAAATATTAAATTATATTACACTCTTAGAAGAAATGGTTCTATTTAGAACCAGAAATGGTTCCATCCCCCGCTTCATATATGGAACTCCAAAATGGTTCTATATAGAACCTTTTTTTTTGGTAAAAGGTTCTATTGGCCCCAGAGTTCTATATAGAACCCAGAGGAACCCTTTTTTTAAGAGTGTATAGAACCTTTTAGGGGTTCCAAATACGTAGCACTGATAGAACTTTTAAGGTTCTATATAGAACCTTTTCTTCTAAGAGTGATGATTATTTTAAATGCATTTCTTACACACAGCTCCTTTAAATACAGTGTATTGTGCAGAATCTGCTCATTTCTGGCTTGAACACACACGTCACTCACTACGCAACAAATAACGGCGCGCTTGTTCACTTGCATTGAAGTAATAGCGAATATTAAAAAGCATTTGGTGAACAGAAAAGACATTGTTATTTTACAACGTCCGACATGTTCTGTGTGCTGTATTGATCTGTCCACATATAACACATTTTTTGGTGGAGTTGCTGTATGACAGAATTTTGTTTGAATAAGAAATTAATGCATGAAATCCAAAAAAAAAAAAAAAAAAATTTTTTTTATTAAATATATATATATATAAATATATAAACTACCAGTCAAAAGTTTTAGATCTGTAAGATTTTTTATGTTTTTAAAAGAAGTCTCTTCTGCTCACCAAGGCTGCAATTATTTGATAAAAAATACAAAAAAACAGTAATATTGTGAAATATTATTACAATTTAAAACAGCAGTTTTCTATGTGAATATAAAGTGAAGTGTAATTTATTCCTGTGATCAAAGCTGAATTTACAGCATCATTACTCCAGTCTTCAGTGTCACATGATCCTACAGAAATTATTATAATATGAGGCTCAAGAAACATTTATGATTATTATCCATGTTGAAAACAGTTTTTTACATTTTTATTTCAGGATTCTTTGATGAATAGAAAGTTCAAAAGAACAGAATTGATCTGAATTGGAAATTAAGCTTTTGTAACATTAATCACTACCATTCAAAAGTTTGGGGTCAGTAAGAATTAATTTTTTATTTTTGGGAGAAAGAAATTACAAAATGCTTTTATTCATCAAGGATGAGTTAAATTGATCAAAAGTTACAGTAAAGATTATATTTTAAATAAATGCTGTTCTTTTGAACTTTCTATTCATCACAGAATTTTGGGGTGAAAAAATGGTACACGACTGTTTTCAACATTGAAAATAATAATTGATGTTTTTTGAGCATAAAATCAGCATATTAGAATGATTTCTGAAGGATCATGTGACACTGAAAACTGATGTGTAATCAGCAACAGTAATGATGTGGAAAATTCAGCTTTTAAATTACATTTTAAAATAGAAAACAGTCATTTTAAATTGTTATTTATTGTTATATATTTTTTTTTCATCAAATAAAGCAGCCTTGGTGAGCAGAAGAGACTTCATTTAAAAACATAAAAAAAAATATTACTGATCTAAAACTTTTGACCGGTAGTGTTTATATAAGCTGTGACAGTGAATCTGGTTTATTTCTTCTTATTTTTGGCTAGAAGTAGTTCCGTATGGGCGGTTACTTCAAAATTTTGTAGCCAAATAGGCCGGTGGGTGAATGTTAATTTCAAACCCTGTGTAGGAGTAATGCTAATAGTTGCGAATCTGTTGATGATGTCACGTGTCTGTTTAGGTGCGGGCGGATCAGAATGAGGTGCGTCATCTCACGTCAGGCAACTGGGAGGTGACGCAGATTCTGGCTTACGATGAGAACGCACAGACCATGTGAGTAAAACTCACTCCAACATACAAACCAGCATCTTTATGACTGTCATATATGCAATACAATACAATACAATGTTTATTTATGAAGCACAACTTAAAAAGAACCAAAGTTGACCAGTACAAGAAAATAAAAAAGTGCAAAACGCATGAAAGTAAACCATAAAACGGCAAGTCAAGATATATCTACGGAGGCGTATTGCATTCACTTGAAGAAAAAAAAATCTACTCTGTTTTTCTGAATTAACGAGTTAATTTTTCATGAGAAAAAAAAATTTGCTCTGTTTTTCTGAATTAATGAGTTAATTTTTTATGAGAAAAAAAAATTTGCTCTGTTTTTCTGAATTAATGAGTTAATTTTTCATGAGAAAAAATTTTTTTTGCTCTGTTTTTCTGAATTAACGTGTTAATTTTTCATGAGAAAAATTTTTTTTGCTCTGTTTTTCTGAATTAATGAGTTAATTTTTCATGAGAAAAAAATTTTTGCTCTGTTTTTCTGAATTAATGAGTTAATTTTTTGTGAGAAAAAAAGGTTTTGCTCTGTTTTTCTGAATTAACAAGTTAATTTCTCATGAGAAAAAAATATTTTGCTCTGTTTTTCTGAATTAATGAGTTATTTTTTCATGAGAAAAAATATTTTGCTCTGTTTTTCTGAATTAACGAGTTAATTTGTCATGGATTTTTTTTCCCTGTTTTTCTGAATTAACGAGTTAATTTTTTCATGGAATTTTTTTCTCGTTAATTCAGAAAAACAGAGCAAAATATTTTTTCTCATGAAAAAATAACTCATTAATTCAGAAAAACAGAGCAAAATATTTTTTCTCATGAAAAAATAACTCATTAATTCAGAAAAACAGAGCAAAATATTTTTTTCTCATGAGAAATTAACTCGTTAATTCAGAAAAACAGAGCAAAAACTTTTTTTCTCATGAAAAATTAACTCATTAATTCAGAAAAACAGAGAATTTTTTTTTCTCATGAAAAATTAACTCGTTAATTCAGAAAAACAGTAGATTTTTTTTTTCTTCAAGTGAATGCAATACGCCTCCGTATATATCAAATACAGGCATGTGAAAAATAGGTAGGCAACATCCCATGGAAGTTGTTTTATTTTTTGACATATTTGGACAGGCAAACATTGATTCACAACTATTAATAAAGTTAATATCCTAGGACAAATCTACAAAGAAAATGAGCTTTTTCAATCATATATTCAATAGATATGCATCGCTTCTTTAGAAAAGTAAGTACATCCTTCTCATCACTATCTAGTATTGCATCTAAGTAGCATCTCGTAGGCATGTTGCATAATTGTCCGCTCTAACATTGGCTTGCTGGGATTTTTGACCTCTCTTTCAGTGGGATTCAAGTCTGGGCTTTGACTAGGCCATCCCATAACTCTCCATTTCTTGTTTTTGAGCCATTCTTTGCTGGATTTGCTAACATGCTTAGGATCGTTGTCCTCGTTGAAAGGTCCACTTGCTGTTCAGCTTCAACTTTCAGACAGATGGCCTCACGTTATCTTCAAGCACTCATTGATGTGATGCAGAATTCATAGTTGAATCAATGAATGCGTCCAGCATGCTTCGCAGGCCGTATGAGGTTATTCTCCTTTGGTCTGCGCCAAACATTTCCTCTGGTACTGTGGCCAATTGGGCTGGGCAAAAAAAAAAGAGATTTTTCACTTAATCATCCAATTTTCAGCCTCAATTTTTCATCTTGCATCAAAATCCTGTCTATTCATCGTATGCGTTTGAAATATAGAGTTGAAATAACAACATGAGGGAGAGTAATTACTGACAGAGTTTACATTTTTGGGTGTACTATCCCTTTAACGGTCACTTCTGAGCGAATAATTTTTTTGTTTTGAATTATTAAAAATCACAGCTTCATCGGAAGGTTATGATACTTGATGACTTTTTTGGCATTAGATATGTGAATACAAAAAAAAATTGAGGTCATGATCCGAGCATGCTAAGTGGTCTTAAAAAAAATAGTCACGATGTTGGTCTTTGGTCAGAAATGACCCCCATAGGAAATGAATGTGAAATTGACAATAGCACAAAAATTCACCGGTTTTTATTTATTTATTTTTTACAATTTTTTTTTAATAAGAAATAGTTTTTGAGATTGTTTCAAGTTTATATTTAAATCCACCAAAAAATAAAAATGTGTTCATAAACAGCTGGGGAATTCACATGCCTCTCCATAGAGAGCTGCACATGCCATCTAGTGGTTACAACATGATTCTACGCTTTTTCTCTATACTGTAACCAGATGGTGCTAATTTTCTTCAAAAAAATGTTTCCTCAAGGCCTAGACTCTATATTAAACAAAAATACTGCATTAATATTTAAAAAAAAAAAAAATATATATATATATAGAGAGAGAGAGAGAGAGAGAGAGAGAGAGAGAGAGAGAGAGAGAGAAACATAAATATTTCCATTGAAAAAATAGACCATAAATATGGCATAAATATTAATAAATTCAATCAAATTGTCTCAAAATTCTAAATTAAAAAGAATAAATATTATACAATACAAATAAATTGCATTGGTTTTACTGGGATGGAAGAGGTTTCATTTTTAGGCCTCCGGTCACTTCTGACCGGGAAGGCCCACGACATGACTCATAAAGGAAAACCATCAGAGGGTTAAGAATGTATTGATTTTTGTATTGATAAACAAGACAAGAACACATAGTAAGATTATTATTATTTTTCCTCGGGGTGCATGATCTTACTGTATCACACCACAGTGTTTCTAAAGCACCGTCTGTTCTGCAGATATTTCCTGAGCACCGAGGGCTCCCCGACCCGCCGGCAGCTCTTCAGGTGAGATTCCTCCACAATAAGCTCTTCATCTGATGTCAGACTCAGATTGTGATTCTCGAAATACTTCAAAGCTGTGTCCTGATTTAATGAGTCGTCACAATAACCGCGATCAATAGAAGTGTGTTCAGATGAGCGAGATTTCAGATGAGCAATTTCAGAGAAAAATGCGTACGTGTTTTAAATGTTGCGTGGTTTGACTTAAAGCGGAGTGTATCCATAAATGGTGAGATATCATAAATAGCCAGTAGATGGCAGCGTAACCTCACATGTATTAGCCAATTAGCAGTAGTGAGTCACTAATGGCAATATTAGCCTAATCTAAGCTCAGTTTTGGATTTCGTTTTTTTACGATTCACGCCTGGTAGTCGGCAGCAGTGGAAACAAATGCACTTTAATGAAGGGGAAGATTTGAAAGTGTATTAAAGAAGCTCTCACAATGAAGCAAATGCATTGTTTACTTATTCAGTTATGATGCAGAAGTTGTGTATATACTGTGTATTTCACTTTGCATATACACAATATTAAGGTTTTAATATATAGGAAGTGTTTAATTAATACTGCATGAATAATTCATTTTTGTAGCTTGTTGGGTATTAGATACTCTTGTCTTTTGATAATAACTCCATCTTAATCAAATACACATTTACAAATGTAAAGGCTTTTACCATGATACTAAATACTAACTGATTACAATGAAATATCGATGCCCCGGGAAACAAAAAGCAAAAAAAAAAAACCCATCTTTTTTAATTATTTTTAAAACTCAATTGGCTCTGATTGGTCCGTTTTGTGTGCAGTGTGTCCACAGTGGACTTGTTCTCCCGGCGATGTCTGACCTGTGAGCTGATTAAAGCTCACTGCACGTTCTTCAGTGCCGTTTTTAGCCCGACCAACCAACACGTCCTTCTGCACTGCAAAGGTATGACAGTCCACAGTCCTGATCTGTGACCTTTCACCCCTCTGTGAGCATTAGCACTGCAGCACACTGCGTTTCTGTCTGTTCACTCTAAACAACGCTGGGTTGTTTTAACCCAAATTTGGGTCAAATATGGACAAACCCAAATATTGGGTTAAAAATGTCATTTAAAATTTTAATCCAGCTTCAACTTTCACTTTGAGTTGTATTTTTTTTTTTTTTTATCAAAATTTTAACACAACATTTGGGTTTGTCCATATTTGACCCAAATTTGGGTTGAAACAAGCCAGCATTTTTATTTCTGAAATCAAGATACATTTACTGGAGAAGCAAAATGACTGAAGATTTAAAAATAGAAGTTTAAATCAAGAAAAATATATCGATAAAGTCAGAAAAAAATGTACTTAATTCAAAGAGACAACTAGTTTTTTCCCTGAACCCAATAGCATATTTTTTTCTTGATTTTTGCATAAAACTTTTGTTTTTTTTTGTGTGTGTGCGTGCACAATTTATCAGAAATCTCAAGTTAATGTGTTGATTTAAGAATGTTTCGGTATTTGTACTAGAAAACAGGACAGAAATACTACTGTGGCCACTTTATATAAACTTTATATAATGAATATGCATTAAACTTTTTTGCTTCTCAAGTTAACATGTGTTGATTTAAGAATGTTTAGGACAGAAACACTGAAGAAGAACATGTTAAAGTGGCCACACACAGTGTCTGCTTGTTGTTTTCTCTGCAGGTCCAGGAGCGCCGACAGTCATCATACACTCTCTCAACACTGCCAGTGAGTTTCACTTTTCCATCTCTCTGCTAGAGCTGTGTATCGGCATAGATGTCTCCATTCCTGTTCACAAGATCTTAATTCTATACCTTTCAGAATAATTGTTTAGTTACCAGTAAAATTCACAATTCTCGAGTCCAATAGCAATACCACAGCTAAAACTACAAACTAATACACATTTCAAAGGTTTTTAAAGGCAAGTAATCAAATCAAATCAAATCACATTTATTTATATAGCGCTTTTCACAATACAGATTGTATCAAAGCAGCTTCACACTGATAACATGAAAGTAGCACAACACAGGATCAACAACATTGCTAAACACTAAATAATCCCAACTGAGCAAGCTCAAAGCAAGCCAAAAGCAAGGCGACAGTGGCAAGGAACCAAAACTCCATCAGATTGGATGGAGAAACAGTAAACAGTCATTTAATAAAACAAAAACAAAAAATAGAGAAAAGCTTGATTTGTGGCTTTTGTGAATGTTTTTTTTTTAAAATGTGGTTGAATCGATATCCAATCAATTTTTTTTTTTTTTTTTGCCCATCCGTACACTCTCAGAAAAAAAGGTACAAAAGCTTGTCACTGGGGCTGTACCTTTTCAAAAGGTAAACTTTTTGTCCATTTTAGGTGTTAATATCATGTACATTTTAAGTACTAATATGTACATTTTAGGTGCTAATATGTCCATCTCATGAGCTAATATGTCCATTTTAGGTGCTAATATGTCCATTTTAGGTGCTAATATGTACATTTTAGGTGCTAATATGTCCATTTTAGGTGTTAATATGTACATTTTAAGTGCTAATATGTCCATTTTAGGTGTTAATATGTACATTTTAAGTGCTAATATGTCCATTTTAGGTGTTAATATGTCCATTTTAGGTGCTAATATGTACATTTTAAGTGCTAATATGTCCATTTTAGGTGTTAATATGTCCATTTTAGGTGCTAATATGTACATTTTAGGTGCTAATATGTCCATTTTAGGTGTTAATATGTACATTTTAAGTGCTAATATGTCCATTTTAGGTGTTAATATGTACATTTTAGGTGCTAATATGTACATTTTAAGTGCTAATATGTCCATTTTAGGTGTTAATATGTGCATTTTAAATGTTAATATGTACATTTTAGGTGCTAATATGTGCATTTCAGGTGCTAATATGTCCATTTCATGAGCTAATATGTACATTTTAGGTGCTAATAAGTACATTTTAGGTCCTAATATGTATATTTTAGGTGCTAATATGTCCATTTTAGGTGCTCATATGTTCATTTTAGGTACTAATATGTGCATTTTAGGTGCTAATATGTCCATTTTAGGTGCTAATATGTGCATTTTAGGTGCTAATATGTGCATTTTAGGTGCTAATATGTCCATCTCATGAGCTAATATGTCCATTTTAGGTGCTAATATGTCCATTTTAGGTGTTAATATGTACATTTTAAGTGCTAATATGTCCATTTTAGGTGTTAATATGTGCATTTTAGGTGTTAATATGTCCATTTTAGGTGTTAATATGTACATTTTAAGTGCTAATATGTCCATTTTAGGTGCTAATATGTCCATTTTAGGTGCTAATATGTCCATTTTAGGTGCTAATATGTCCATTTTAGGTGTTAATATGTACATTTTAAGTGCTAATATGTCCATTTTAGGTGTTAATATGTCCATTTTAGGTGCTAATATGTCCATTTTATGTGCTAATATGTACATTTTAGGTGCTAATATGTCCATTTTAGGTGTTAATATGTACATTTTAAGTGCTAATATGTCCATTTTAGGTGTTAATATGTCCATTTTAGGTGCTAATATGTACATTTTAAGTGCTAATATGTCCATTTTAGGTGTTAATATGTCCATTTTAGGTGCTAATATGTCCATTTTAGGTGCTAATATGTGCATTTTAGGTGCTAATATGTCCATTTCATGAGCTAATATGTACATTTTAGGTGCTAATATGTCCATTTTAGGTGTTAATATGTGCATTTTAGGTGCTAAATATGTCCATTTAGGTGCTAATATGTGCATTTTAGGTGCTAATATGTGCATTTTAGGTGCTAATATGTCCATTTTAGGTGCTAATATGTGCATTTTAGGTGCTAATATGTGCATTTTAGGTGCTAATATGTCCATCTCATGAGCTAATATGTCCATTTTAGGTGCTAATATGTCCATTTTAGGTGTTAATATGTACATTTTAAGTGCTAATATGTCCATTTTAGGTGTTAATATGTACATTTTAGGTGTTAATATGCAGTATCCATTTTAGGTGTTAATATGTACATTTTAAGTGCTAATATGTCCATTTTAGGTGCTAATATGTACATTTTAGGTGCTAATATGTACATTTTAGGTGCTAATATGTCCATTTTAGGTGTTAATATGTACATTTTAAGTGCTAATATGTCCATTTTAGGTGCTAATATGTACATTTTAAGTGCTAATATGTACATTTTAGGTGTTAATATGTCCATTTTAGGTGCTAATATGTCCATTTTAGGTGCTAATATGTGCATTAGGTGGTAATATGTCCATTTCATGAGCTAATATGTACATTTTAGGTGCTAATATGTCCATTTTAGGTGTTAATATGTGCATTTTAGGTGCTAATATGTCCATTTCATGAGCTAATATGTACATTTTAGGTGCTAATATGTGCATTTTAGGTGCTAATATGTCCATTTCATGAGCTAATATGTACATTTTAGGTGCTAATATGTCCATTTTAGGTGTTAATATGTACATTTTAAGTGCTAATATGTACCACTAAGGTACCAATATGCAGCCTTTAGGTACAAAAGTGTACCTTTTGAAAAGGTACAGCCCCAGTGACAGCTTTTGTACTTTTTTTCTGAGAGTGTACCGTCTGCCCTGTTGTGCTTATCAAATAACTCTTATAATGTTGATCTCTCGTCAGGTTATTACATCCTGGAGAATAACTCGGTGCTGAAAGCTGCTCTCAGATACAAACGCATCCAGCTGGTCGAGTACAGGAGCATCCAGACCGACCACTTCGGTACAGTATCGCTCAGCTTCACCTCATAAACACACCGTGTGAAAGAATAATGTGTGTTGGGTGGGCAGTTGGCACTGCTGGAGTTCAATATCTTGCTCTTGGCCAAAAGTGATGTTGTTAATGACCCTACACTCTTAGAAGAAAAGGTTCCATATAGAATCTTAAAAGGTTCTATCAGCGCTACGTATTTGGAACCCCTAAAAGGTTCTATACACTCTTAAAAAAAGGGTTCCTCTGGGTTCTATATATTCCACACTTGGCCAATAGAACCTTTTACCAAAAAAATTGGTTCTATATAGAAGCATTTTGGAGTTCCATATATGAAGCGGGGGATGAAACCATTTCTGGTTCTAAATAGAACCATTTCTTCTAAGAGTGTACAAGTTTGATTAAATCATTAATATATGAGGAAAACAGTAAACACGGGCAAAACTCGGTATTGGGCAAAAAAAAAAACGACAGCTACAGGTTTTATTTTACTCTGCAAAAATAAAATCCACAGAAAAACTAAAAGCAAACACTGACTACAACTCAGTTATTAATATTTTGTTGGTTCTCCTGTTTTTGCATGTTCATAATTTCTTCATATGCCAATCTGGATAAAAATGATGTCGGCACAATTTGACATGATTCACTCTGTCACGATCACTAATAAAACAATCGACTCCAAGCACAACTATGCTTTGTATTGTGAATAATATTTGAATAAAGTGTGAAGATGTCAATTTTTCTCGGCTGGCCGTCACTTTTGGCCAGTATTGAACTAGATGGATATTCGTACGCAGCACTGAACTGTCCCTCGTGTGTGTTTGCAGATTTGCCGCTGAAGATCGCCTATCCACCCGATTTCTTGGAGTCCCGCAGTTACGCTCTTCTGCTGATAATGTAAGCGTGTGTGTGTGTGTGTGTGCGTGTAAATCCAAGGTAAGCTCACAAGGTACAATTTGCAGCCCTTGGCAAGATGTCACCTCGTGCCCCTCGCATCACCCGGCATTTTGTGCATGATATCATCTTAAAATAATAAAGGCTGGTGGTGGTTAAACTATTATAGCCACATTACAGCCTACACACACATAGCGAGAGCTTCACATCTAGCCATTCACACACATACTATTCATTGTTTTTTTTAGTAGATGGCAGCAATATTTCACTAAACTATGGAACTTTTCATAGTTTTGCCCAGGAATGAAACCGAGAAATCGTTTGAATTTTACATAAAATGTTGGTATTTTTAACAAACCTGTACTGTATATAAATAGGATTACTAATTTCGCAAATTAAAATGCCATATATCCAACTAAATCAGCATAAATATTCATACGAAAGTGATATTTCATAACTGACATGATTGTTACAAAAATCTGGGCTTCTGGAGAACAGCCGTTTGCATCAAGTTTAGGGTAACACACTCATTAGAGAACATTTCTAGTAGGCTATCTTACAGATAAACTGTTCATTAAAGGAGTAGTTCACTTTAAAAAAAATCTTTTGCTGATAATTTACTCACCCCCATGTCATCCAAGATGTCCATGTCTTTCTTTCTTCAGTCGAAAAGAAATTAAGGTTTTTGATGAAAACATTCCAGGATTTTTCTTCATATAATGGACTTCAATGGGAACCAAACGGTTCAAGGTCCAAATGAGAGTTTCAGTGCAAACTGCAAACTGTTCAAAGGGCTTTAAACGATTCCAGACGATTCGGTTCCAGTCTTATCAAGCTTAAACTTTGTTATTTATTTATTAAATGAGCGATCGTTTCGCTTGATAAGACCCTTATTCATCGTCTGGAATCGTTTAAAGCCCTTTGAACAGTTTGCACTGAAACTCTCATTTGGACGTTGAACCGTTTGGTCCCCATTGAAGTCCATTATTAGGAGAAAATCCTGGAATGTTTTCATCAAAAACCTTAATTTCTTTTCGACTGAAGAAAGAAAGACATGGACATCTTGGATGACATGGGGGTGAGTAAATCATCAGCAAAAGTTTTTTTAAAAGTGAACTACTCCTTTAATTTATTTAATTATGTTTAGATATTTGTACTGAAGAAAAAAGACAAAAAATACATAATTCTTGTTGCAGTGCAGCAGAACTGTAGTCTCCCATGATGCCATGGTTTTGTGGACAAATAATGTTCATTTCAATCCCACTGGACTCTATGCACAAATGCTATATAAAGTAAAGACGCTGCTATAGACCTCATTCAGAGCAGCGCCTTGACAGGTATGAAAGTGAGGCTGTGAGGGATGGACTTACCGTGTTTCCAATGGCATCCGCTGTAAAAAGCTCCTAGATTACTTACAATTTTCCACAGCTTACATTGTCGGGAGTTTTTTGTCAACTGAAATATATTTTTCCAGTGTTTCATGAGCAGAACAATCCGAAAACACATTAAATAACAGTACAGCCCATTGAAGAGATGCATGTCTATCCCTCACAGCCTCGCTTTCATTCTCATTAAAAATCAAAGATGGCGCTGCCGCGAATAAGGCGTATTAGATCTGGGTTTATGGAGGTGTTTGAAGTGAGTAGTTGTGTCACTTCATGTGCTTCTCTCCTAAAGCCCTGTGATGTTGTGTTCAAGCAGCGGTGGGGGATTAAATGACTCTTAGTGAGTAGAAAGAGCGGTGAAAACATCACGTTCTGTTGGCGCTGTAAACACACGACCGGAGACTGGAGATGTGTCAGTGACGATGCTCTGATGTGTGTGTGTGTGTGTGCGCAGTGATGCTGCCCCCGGTGGTCAGCAGGTGAATGAGCAGTACGCAGTGGACTGGGACTCTGTGCTGGTCAGCTCGGACAACGTCATCGTAGCTCGTCTGGATGGCCGGGGAAGCGGTTTCCAGGGTCAGAAGATTTTGCAGGACGTGCACAAGCGCCTGGGAGCCGTCGAACTGCAGGATCAGCTGGCCGCTGTTGAGTAAGAACGTGTTCTTCAGGGTTCGCACAAAGGGCTCATCGGATGGAAAAGTTGCTCATTATCGTTTAAAGGAGAACTCCGGTCAATTTTAACATTGAGCTCATTTTTTTGTACATTTGGAGTGCCGTCAGTACAGACAAATACGACAAAAATCTTATCCTCTTTTTAAAATTCGCACCCTGTTGACTTCAATGGGGCATGTTCTAAACCTGCTTCTAGCCTCTTAAAGGAGTAGTTCACTTTTCAAAAAACTTTTGCTGATAATTTACTCACCCCCATGTCATCCAAGATGTCCACGTCTTTCTTTCTTCAGTCGAAAAGAAATTAAGGTTTTGGATGAAAACATTCCAGGATTTTTCTCCATATAATGGACTTCAATGGGGACCAAATGACAGTTTCAGTGCAAACTGTTCAAAGGGCTTTAAACGATTCCAGGCGATGAATAAGGGTCTTATCAAGCGAAACGATCGCTCATTTAATAAATAAATAACAAAGTTTAAGTTTTATAAGCTCAAATGCTCGCCTTGCTCTGTTCTGTGACGCACGTTTGTGACTCTCCCATTCGAACTCGTTCATCAAAATGAACAAATCTTTTTCCGAGTTAATTGAATGAATCAAATGACTCGGAAAAAGATTTGTTCATTTTGATGAATGAGTTTGAACAGGACGTGTGTCACAGAACAATTTTTCGCAGTGATCAGAGAAGGGCTCATTCAGCACATCAGGCGATTGTTTAAGCATGTATGGGTTAGAAAAACAGCTATTTTAAACATGAAATATTGCACAATGCACCTTTAATGTTCCAGAAAGGCACTTTGTTGTACAGTATACAGGCATATTGACACATTATCCACATGTCATAAATAAGTAAAACACATAAAACCACTTCACATTTACTCTTCCTCATGCTCTGTGTGTGTGTGTGTGTGTGATCGAACACTGAAATCATGCTTTTGTTCCAGGTACATGCTGAAGTTTCCGTACATCGATCGAACCAGGATCGGTGTGTTTGGTCGGGTAAGTCGCTGGTTAAGTGTCTGTAACGCTAGTACATCACTGATCCGTGTTCACACTTCCATATGTGTCTTTCCGCAGGATTATGGGGGATATATCACACTCCTTCTGATCAAATCCACTGAGAACTTGTTTAAATGTGCAGTGGCCATGTCGCCTGTGACAGACTGGAATTTGTATGGTAAGTTATTGTGATGTGAATGTGATTTAAAACAATAATAACAATAGTGTATTGTTGCTGTCTGAGCATGAAAAGTCTTCTCTCGTGTCAGTGGAAATGGCAATGCATACTTTTTTATAGAGCCCGACTGATAAAGGATTTTGAAGGCCGATACCGATACAAATATTTGTTGGTTTTAAAATCCGATATATTATCGGCCGATATTTTTTTTTTTTTTTTTTAAATCCAGAAACGTGCAACAAAACATTAACAGATTTCCCTAACTTTAGTTATTTATGAGTTTTAACTAAAATTATAATGCATTTTAAAAAGAAACTTGTTTCTTTTATTGTCACAACAGAACAGAGGAACATCAAAATATATTAAAGTTCTGATAAATAAAATAATAATTAGTCCCTACATTGCCTTATAAGCCACCTGCAACCTGGATCAGCAGGATGTGTGGCGCGTTATACACGAGTGTTGCCAACTGGGAACGGTGTAGAGCGCCCTCTGGTGGACAAACTATACAACTCCAACACTCATGACATGGTTCAAGCGTGTTTCGTCCGTTTTTATTTTATTTTTGTAATATTTATTTATCGGCCATTATAACTGCCGATACCGATAGTTTGGAAAATACTTAATATCGTCCTGCCGATAAATCGGTCTGGCTCTCCTTTTTTATTTTATCGAAAAGAATGAATAGCCTATAAGAACAATGAGTTTTAAATCTAAGTACCTAAAGTTTATTTGCCACAATAAAGACACATCTAATACCCATAAATGTTTCACATTGTCGACAATATTTCAGAAGAGATAGAAAATAGCCAATTTGATGTGAAAATATTGATAACATTGGAAGTAGACCTCAAAGAATATTATAAAGCACACTAAAACATGCAGTTCATGACCCCTTTAAGCTCTCTCTCTCTCTCTCAGCCTCGGCGTTCTCTGAGCGCTATCTGGGACTTCCTCTTCAGGACGACAGCAGATATCAGGTAAGCGCCGGTCAGATGATGTAGTCCTCAGACTGAGCTTGTAGTGACGGACGGTTTGTTCCTCTAGTTCTCCAGTGTCCTGCAGAATCCACAGGGTTTCCGAGACCAAACGCTGATGCTGCTGCACGCCACTGCTGACGGTCAGTGTGCGCCAGTTCACATACAAGCTCTATTAATAAATGATTAACCACTGGCCTGAATAATTCATGCAGATATTCACTTTCTACAGTAGAGATGTCCAGAGGGGGATATTTCCCACATCATCTCCTCCTGTGCCTGTAATTTACCCTTGTAAGGGTATACTTGTTCATTATTTTTTTGTCTATAAAGCTTAATATTTATTTAAAAAAAATCAATTTTTAATGCAAATTTTGAGAGATATACCTGTAACTTGCCCTTGTAAGGGTATACTTGTTCATTATTTTTTTTGTCTAGAAAGCGAAAAAAAAAATTGTCTAGAAAATTATTTATAATTTTTTTACATTTTTAATGCAATTTTTTTAGAGATATTTTAACATTTTTACGTCTAAATTACTAGATTTAATCAATATTGCGCATTCTTTTACATACACACAATAACACAAGCAAAAACTCTCACATTGTGTGTCTCTGCCGACCTCTTGTGGGAAAAAAATATTATAACATGATATTTCATGACTCTAGCCACTAGATGGCCTATATGTATATGTGGAGTGAGTTAACTCATTTTTCTTTTCAGTTTTTCATTTAGGTGTATATTTAGACATTTTAAAATCATTTTTAGTTCTATTGTGATTGATTTTTGTTTGAAAAAGGTTAAAACATTGCACGTGTTATATGACCCCCATCCCCGCTCTTTAGTCTCATGCATTTATTTGTGTGGTTGCTTGTTCTGGATTGTTTTTTTTTTTACAAATAAAAATGTTTAAAATCCCTATTTTCCACTCAAAATGACCCAAGGGAAGGATTTGCTACTATTTATTTATTTTTTATAACCAAATAAACTCTTTGAATCCAGTCAATATTTTTGTGTGTATCATCCAAGTTCAAATGCGACAAATCTCGCAAGGACACACTTTCAATTTTAAAAATTAAAAAAAAATGAATTTCCTAATTTCCCAAGGACAGGATGAGGGACTATATAATAATATGAGGAAAATGTTTGTTTGTTTTTTTCGATTGCGTTATCACAAATAAAGCACAACTGCTTGTGGACAATATTTAAATAAAGGGTGAATGTGTAAATTTTCCTAGGCCACTACTGTATTTTATTGTATAGCATAGCATTTGATAGCGATACTAATATATTTTTTTTTTTTTTTTCCTCCAGCGAACATTAATTTCCAGCACACAGCCGAGCTCATAAAGAACCTGGTGAAGGTGGGAGCGAATTACACACTGCAGGTACTGGGAAAAACACACAATGTGTCCAGGGATGTGGGAACTATATTATGAGCGGGGGGGAGGCCTATAGTAGGCTGTGTTATATATCCTGATTGACTCATTTTGCACATGCATCGCCACAGAGTTTATCTTTTCAGCCTGTCTCGTTCACTTGGCCGCTCAGATTTACCTTCAATTAAATCTAGCCTTAGTGTACTTGACAGAAGTACTTAAAAAATGTAGCTACCTAAAAGTTAAAGATTTTTAATATAACTCAAGAGATGGTGGATGTGTGATATTTCATGATTTATGAGTGACGAATTTTCTAAAAAATATTTTGCTACCTAAAAGTTAAAGATTTTTTGTGTCACGCATGCATGTCGTATTAAATATAAAACGCATGTGGACTGATATTTTTCCAATGTCTGGAGTATATAAACAGACATTTCAATATATTGGTATTACATGCATTTTCTGAGAATCTATATTTCAACTTTTTACTGCAAATGTGGAAACGCACTCATTGGTCCCCCAGTGCTTGAGTCGCCATATATCGGAAAACATTTGGAATGGGTCAGACGTAATTCTGACCACTTATAAGTGAATTTCGTATTGCATCTTCATTTTAATCAATGTTTTCATCAACAAATAAACAAGAAGCAAATATGTTATGTCATATAATTAGGAATTGGAGGAGGAATTGGAGCATACTCATACAGTTGATTTACTGTATGAGTATGATTTACTCATACAGTAAATCAACCCGATCACACTAATGCGTCTCTATAGCACGCAGTGTGTTTATCGTTCAATTTATATGCGAAAATTAGTTTTTACGTGGGTTGGTTAGGGAAGGTTTAGTGGTGGTGTGTGTGTGGGGGGGGGGGCTGGGTAATAAATATCGATTTCTCGATATTAATCGATTCTCATTTTTACGAACTGATATCGATTCTTAAATCTCAAGAATCGATTAGTCATCCTGTTTCATTTGAATGAATGGATCATTGTATCGCGGCTGCGCGCATCCAAAAAATCGCAATAATCTTTGTCCTTTGTTACTATTGATATGAAACAAAGTCTCAATTTTCAAATTACGTCCATTTTCTTTAGAAATTCAAAAACATAAATAGCGTTTTGGCGCTGTGGCGTGAGATCGCTCTGGCGGAGCTCAGGAGAAGCAGCCGCGCTGATCTCACTTCCGGGTTAATAATACCAGTCACAGCGCGAAATAAACATGAATGAGCATCTGAAAGTGTGTTAAAAGATAGAGTATAACTTATCGAAATCCGTATCATGTCACATTGATTCGCTCAATCAGCGTTTCAACCGTTAAACAGCTTGTAATCAATGTATCGTCATATTTACCTCAGAAAACCCACATAAACTCGTTAGTCAGCTAGAAAAAATAACTCTAGAGAGGAGCACTTTGCTAAATATATACACCATTTTACATATGCATTATAATCTTAATGTTCTTCAATATTTAATGCATATTTGAATAAATCTGGCAAGTTTTTATGACAGCCACCATTTAAATTTCATATAATCTTATTATAAAAATAAATAAAAGTGTAATTTAAGTGTTTAGCTACAAAACAGTTCATTATTACCTTCATATTAGGTTAATGAAGCCTATAGGCTACAACAAAATTTGCCATTTATTGTAACTGATATCCTAAATAATCGATATTGAATCGAAATCGAATCGAATTGTGAAATTTGTCTCAATACCCAGCCCTAAGCTATTACACGCAAATGAGCTGAGTATCAAATGCACGCAAAAACTGCGTATTATATGCACGTAAAAACTCATTTTCGCGTATAAATTGCACGATAATACACAATGCATGTGCGCTAATGCATAATCCTTACTGAATCCTTGTCTCAGGATTGGGGATGATAGTCTAGATCGTTGATGGTTTTCTGCACGGTTGTTCTCCAGATTTATCCAGACGAGGGCCACTTCCTGTCTAAGAGCAGCGAGAGACACGTGGCCTCGACACTGACCAGCTACTTCAGATCCTGCTTGCAGGACGATGGGCTTCCCGTCAGTGAGGAAGAGGAGGAAGAGGAGGAGTAGAGCGGAGATGACACAAACACACACTGACACACACCACAATGCACACACAAACACTCGGGACAGTGAAACACACTGGACGTTGAGACAAACATCCAAAGCACAACGCTCAAGTAAACAGCGAGAGCCAGGAGTGTGTGTGTGTGTGTTTGAACATGTACATATGCATGTGTGTAACAGTTTGGATGATGTATGTATTAAAGCTGTGTGTGTGTGTGTGTGTGTGTGTGTGTGTGAGAGAGAGTGAGAGAGATAGAGTTTCTATGTTCCTGGCCACAGGATCATTATCGCTGGAAATGGATCAGAATGTTTCACATATCATCATGAGTCACTATAATTGGCCGACGCATTGGCCAATCACAGCACAACAAGTCCGCCATTGCATGGTCCTTTTGCTTTGCTTCACTTCTTTTGCCACTTTTGTGTCTCAGTATGTTTTCACCTTCCGGAGGAGCTGCATTCGGTTTCATTTCTCACCATCCGTGACGAGCTCTTGCTGTAAATGCATCTGTCGAAAGCTCACGGATCTGCGTGAAGATCAGCACACGTGCAGTGCATTCTGGGACGGATTGTACAGAAGACTAAGAACCTGCATCAGATGAAAGAACGGACAGATTATTTGTCTCTGGAGGGCTTTTGTATCGCTGACTGTTTAGTTTTACTGGTGGTGGGGGGGGTGATGGGTCGGGTTTATTGTTATTGTTCTCTAGTCATGTCTATAAATAAACAAATAGTCCAAATCCAACATTATTCAATTTTGATTGTACTACAATTTACTCTTAAGTCTCGGTGCCATTCCTCATGTTCCTGCAGACTGAACAGACACAGTCAGTAGGCCAACAATCATGAGAAAATATAAATGTTAAAATGGCCAAAAGTGATGTCTAGGGGGGATTTTTGTTCTAAATGACTCAAAATATGAGGAAAATATTTTTAATTTTTAATTTGATGGATGAACAAAACACTAAACTTGGTTAAGGTATTTCTGACAAAAAAGTTACAGGTTTTATTTTACTATGCAAAAAGCTGACAGGAAAAAGTAAAAATAATTCAAAATAAAAAGTACAAAATAATTCGTTATGTTGATTCTCTCTTGTATATGTTCATAGGTTCATTGTATGATGGCTAGGCAAAAAATGATGATGAAAAAAATCATTAATCAATTGATTTCAAGCACAGCTGCGTATGCTAACAAAATCTTTAACAAAGTGTGATTTGAATGAAGGTAGGGTGTAACTTACATCACTTTTGGCCTGTTAACAGCTCCTGAAAGGTGATCCTCACTAAAGCAAGATGGACTCTTTGATTTGAAAGTGTTTCGGATGTTTGGCACTTTTTTAATATTGTATCTCGGGCCCACGACGAGCTCTTTCGAAGGGTTTCGGTCCGTTCTCCACTCGATAAAAATTTGGCGTCGAAACGTTGATTTTTCGCGGAGATATTTGCGATTTTTTCCCGAGCTCGTGGCACCATTTCAGAGCGCGGCCAACGGTTTTCGGCTAATATCTCCGCGAATACTCCACCAAAAATGACGAAACGCATATGGTTTTGTTCAGTTCGGCGAGACGGTTCGAAGGATTCCGGTCTCCGACTGGTACGTTGAGTTTTCGCTGAGATATCTGCGTTTTTCGCTTCTGGAGGGGTTTTGGGGGCCCACGAGGCTGGGGGTGGTCTCGCAATGTTTACACGGAGATTTCGGAGTTTTACAGTTTACTAAATGTATTTACACATATCGAAATCCGTATATCTAAATATGTTTAGTGAAAGGTAAAACTCCCGAAATCTCCATGTAAACATTGCGTGACGTAGGCGCATATGCGCATGCTTCCGGCATAATGTTGGAGACAGTTCGGTTCAGTTGGACATCTGATTCAGATCAGTTCGACGACGGCTGGATAACAATAGGTAAAAACTATATAAATACTGTTCGTTTTCTCACACAAACTGCTCGTTTCGTGTCTTAGGCTCAATGTGTACTTACATTTACGAGTCATTAAATCATGTTTAATTTGGACTTCTCTGTGCATGCTCTTTGAGGCGGTCCCCCATACCCTGCATTATGACTGACAGACAACACCGGTTTGACGGAAAAATGTCAAAATTGAAAATACTGTGGAAACAAAGACACCTACATCTTGGATACCCTTGAGGTAAGCTAAAACATATCAAAAATAAATTTCAAAGTGAGCTATCCCTTTAAAGGGCTGGTTGATTATGATTTCACTTTTCTAACTTTTTAGTTAGTGTGTAATGTTGCTGTTTGAGCATAAACAACATCTGTAAAGTTTTGACGCTCAAAGTTCAAAGCGAAGGGAGATATTTGCTTTTAAAGAAATCACTTTTTAAGGATTTCAACAAACCCGGGTTAGTGACATCACCAATCCCAATATTTACATAAACCCTTCCCCCGGAACATATATATTATCATGATAGGATATGCTAATCAATGACTAAAAGATCTATACATAAGCTACATACATTCACCAACTAACCATTCAGAAATGTTCTTTTGCTTCTACATGTTTTCACTTCTTCTTGAGTCTCTCCATCTTCCTGACTCCGGTTTGAAAAGGCTAGAAGTTTTTGAAAATTTCAGTGCATGTCTGTGTGAAGTAAAAGGAAACAAGCTCTTGAAGCTCCGCCCCTCAGCTCATTTGCATTTAAAGGGACAAACACACAAAAAAACGGTTCGTTTTCGCTCACCCTCAAAAAGCAACAATTTTAACATGCTATATAAAAATACCTGTGGGGTATTTTGAGCTAAAATTTCACACACACACACACACACACACACACACTTGGGACATCAAAGACTTATTTTACATCTTGTGAAAGGGCATTATACCACCCCTTTAAGTAGCAGGGAATACTGCATTGCACTGGTCCCTACACCTCCAGGTGTTCCTCAAGTCTCAATTTTGGGCCCTTTATTATTTAACTTATACATGCTTCCTTTAGCTGGTGTAGTTAATTAGTACAATATTTACTTTCACAATGCAGATAATACAACTCTTATCTTTCGCTTAATTCAGTTTCCACTAAGCTGGACTGCATAGAGGGCATAAAATATTGACTCTCTATCACTTAAAGCTGTCAGTCAGGTGGAAAACTTCAGGATTCATGTTTGAAAGTGACCTCAGCTTAAAAAAAAAAACATTAGCAATGTCACTGTCACAAAAACAGCATTTTATGACCTCAGAAGCATCTCCAAAGTACTGATATTCTCTCCCCTTCTGACCAGGAGAAACTCGTTCATGCATAAGTCATGTCTAGACTTGGCTAATGCAATAGCGTTTATGCTGGGTTACCAAAGAGCTTTATTACACACTTACAAAGCATTCAGGATGCAGCTGCACGAATGCTCAATTTAAAATAAGAAATCAAATTACTCCAACACTCACATCCCCTCACTGGCTGCCCTTATCATTTAGAATTGAATTCAAGACCCTCTTTTATTTCTAATCTGTTTTTAAGAGGTATATTTCTACCAGTTTCTACCTATAAGTGAGTGATATATTGCTATATACCTAAATGTATGTTTTTATTTATTTATGGTTAAATATTATTCTTTATCCATGGACTAATTACTGAAAAAAAACATGTCTATTGTTTTACGCTCGCAGATTTGCTGGTTAGCAGTGTTCCTGTGGTCTTATTATTATTATTATTATTATTGAATTCATCCAGACTGTTTAATTTAAAATATATGTGTTCTGACGTGGACATATAGTATTATCCTATAAGCATTTTGACACTATCATTTTTATACAAATGGTAGAAAAAGCTGAAAATATTTAAATTTTGATATACTTTTATATATAATTGCTAATATTGCATTATTGTTGTAAGAAATTGAGAACCACTGAGTTGTTCTAGTGATTGTGGCATTTAATACTCTTAACATCAGACTGCAGTAGTACAGGTTTCTCATGCTCCCTTTAAAAAAAATCAGTGAATGCAGATGACATGCGCTTTATGCATCACATCATCTGATCTGATGTTCACAATATTATTATTCTACACAGAATAGCATGGCTGAAGAAAAAGAGAACCAGAGGATCAGTGACTCAATGGAAACACACTGAACCACAAACACGTTAGATATTAGATTTGATATTGTGTACTTCTCTGAACGTAATTTATAGACCAGTACAGCCCATAATAACTGATGACAGTGAGAAAGAACAATGTTTCTTTCAGCCTGGTAAGAGTGACAGCAATCAACATCAGTCGCGCTGCTGCTAAATACAGATTTAAAGGGGATACACTGTAAAAAAATATTGTTGGTTTAACTTAAAAAAGTAAGTAACCTGGTTGCCTTAAAATTTTAAGTTCATTGAACTGGAAAAAAGTGAGTTATTACAATGAAGGAGAATGATTTAATCATCAGAAACTCAAAATTATATGTTATCTGAACTAAATAAATTATTTAAGTTGATTTGACAAAAGAAAAAATGTTGTGATTTACTAAACTGTAAAAAAAATATTGTTGGTTTAACTTAAAAAAAGTAAGTAACCTGTTTGCCTTAAAATTTTGAGTTGATTGAACTGGAAAACGTGAGTTAATACAATGAAGGAGATTAATCATCAGAAACTCAAAATAAATTATGATAAAATTGATTTGACAAAAGAAAATATGCTGTGATAACAAATCTTGAAAATATTTTTTACAGTGTAGTTCACCCCAAAAGAAAACTCTGTCAGTAATTACTCGCCCTCATGTTGTTGCAACCCAACCCGATCTCACGACCAAGTCGTACGAATTCGACGAATGATTAAAAAGTGGCTAATTCGTAACAATTCATACGATCTCACCCGTACGAATTAGTACGATTTTGCTAAATCGTACATATTTTACGAATTGGCCAATTCGTATGAATTCGTACGAATGACCTACCCCTTACCCCGCCCCTAAACCTACCCATCACGTGGGTTTAGACAAATCGTACGAGTGAGGTCGTACGAATTAGACACTTTTTAATCATTCGTCGAATTTGTACGAATTGGTCGTGAGCGTGTTGTCCAACCCTGTAAGACTTTCGTTCATCTTCCGTACACAAATTAAGATATTTTTGATTAAATCTGAGAGCTGGATCCCTCCTCTATAAGCTTCTAAGAGATTGAAATTTGCCAGCCCAAAAGTTATTAAAGACGTCGTTGAAATAGTCCGAGTGACTACGGTGGCTCAGCCTTAACCCTTTAGGCGCCAGAGGTTTCGTTCGATTTTGATATCTTAATTTCAAAAGGCTATATCTTAAAAGTGATAAAGATAAAGTGACTTTCTGTAAATTAGAGAAATATTAAGGATGACCCAAAGTTTATGTAGGGATTACATTTTTCCGTCTAATTTGCATATTATGACATCATATGGTGGCAGCAATCATGGATTATAGAATTTTTTCATGAAAAGTCGCATGTTTAAATGATAAAATGCAGCACTTCTTTCCCCCCCAAAATGTCCCTCACCTTCTGTATGCTGTATTGCACAATACTGAATACTCACTCAGGTATATAATAAACTGTAAATCATTACTAATAAATGGTAGAACAAACCGAATGCATGTAGCAGTTGCCTTTTTGCTGTAGAGATTTTCCATTTATTACACACAGTAGGCACTCTGATTTCATGTATGGGGTGCATACAGTATATATTATTCATATCATGACACACGAACACAAGTAGACAAAACCTGTTTAGTTGAAAAGCTCACTCGCGACGGCAAGGCACAGATCACGAATGATATGATTCGAGCAGATCTGCCTCGAGTGCCACCTAGAGGGCACTTAAAGAGGCTACACTGTAAAAAAATATTTTCAAGATTTGTTATCACAACATATTTTCTTTTGTCAAATCAACTTTATAATAATTTATTTAGTTGAGAACTTATTATTTTGAGTTTCTGATGATTAAATCTATCTCCATCATTGTATTAACTCACTTTTTCTAGTTCAATCAACTTAAAATTTTAAACCAACAATATTTTTTTACAGTGTATGTGTAGGTTTTTACTTCAAACAATCTTTAAGATAGAGTCTTCATTTGTACATTTATAAGCCAACCATAATGCAACAGAAAGAATGACCCCTTGTCTGTCCACCACGGTGGCCTCTATCAGCCTGTAGGCTCAATTGTGTGTGGAGGAGTCGGGTCTTAATTTGTAAATATCTTGATTTGTGAAGAAGAAGATGAACGAAAGTCTTACGGGGTTGGCACAACTTGAGGGCGAGTAATTACAGAATTTTAATATTGAGGTGAACGAACCATTTTAATGCTATAGTAGTGTGAACAAATGATGAAAAATAACAAACTGACTCAACGTCTCTCTGTCTCTGCCTTTAGATCTGATCGGCTCAAAGATTGGAGAGCTGGTCGGCAGGCGAATTTCCCCTGGTGCGACTGATGCTAGTCGTCATCGTCGAGGTCACTGGTTTCTGTGGGAACAGGTGCGTTGTCATGGAAGCACTCTCTGAAGAAGGCGATGAGCGAGTTCAGCATGTAGCGTCTGCTGATGACATCATGACCCTCATCGGGGAAGATCTGCACAGAGGTGAGAGGTCAAAGGGCATGAGGTCAGAGGGTCGAGGGCATGAGGTCAGAGTGAAGCATGTGAGGTCAAAGGGTCGATAACGTGAGGTCAGAGCGTTAAGGGCGTGAAGGGCAATAGCGTGAGGTCACAGGGTCAAGAGCGTTAGGTCAAAGGGTCGACAGCATGAGGTCAAACTGTCGTTAGCGTGAGGTCATAGGGTCAGGAGCGAGAGGTCAAAGGGTCGATTGCGTGAGGTCACAGGGTCGATAGCGTGAGGTCATAGGGTCGGGAGCGAGAGGTCAAAAGGTCGAGAGCGTGAGGTCAAAGGGTCGATTGTGTGAGGTCACAGGGTCAAGTCCGTGAGGTTAAAGGGTTGATAGCGTGAGGTCACAGCCTGAGTCAAGAGCGTGATGTCAGAGTGTTGAGGGCATGAGGTCAGAGTGTTGAGGGCATGAGGTCAGAGTGTTGAGGGCATGTGAGATCAGAGTGTTGAGGGCATGAGGTCAGAGTGTTGAGGGCATGAGGTCAGAGTGTTGAGGGCATGTGAGATCAGAGTGTTGAGGGCATGAGGTTAGAGTGTTGAGGGCATGAGGTCAGAGTGTTGAGGGCATGAGGTCAGAGTGTTGAGGGCGTGAGATCAGAGTGTTGAGGGCATGAGGTCAGAGTTTGAGGGCGTGAGGTCAGAGTGTTGAGGGCGTGAGGTCAGAGTGTTGAGGGCGTGAGGTCAGTTTTGAGGGCGTGATGTCGGAGTGTTGAGGGCGTGAGGTCAGAGGGGCGTGATGTCAGAGGGCGTGATGTCGGAGTGTTGAGGGCGTGAGGTCAGAGGGGCGTGAGGTCAGAAGGCGTGATGTCGGAGGGGTGTGAGGTCAGAAGGCGTGAGGTCAGAGTGTTGGGCATGTGAGATCAGAGTGTTAGGCATGAGGTCAGAGTGTTGAGGGCATGAGGTCAGAGTTTTGAGGTCGTGAGGTCAGAGTGTTGAGGGCATGAGGTCAGAGTGTTGAGGGCGTGAGGTCAGAGTGTTGAGGGCGTGAGGTCAGAAGGCGTGATGTCGGAGTGTTGAGGGCGTGAGGTCAGAGGGGCGTGATGTCAGAGGGCGTGATGTCGGAGTGTTGAGGGCGTGAGGTCAGAGGGCGTGAGGTCAGAGGGGCGTGAGGTCAGAAGGCGTGATGTCGGAGGGGTGTGAGGTCAGAAGGCGTGAGGTCAGAGTGTTGGGCATGTGAGATCAGAGTGTTAGGCATGAGGTCAGAGTGTTGAGGGCATGAGGTCAGAGTTTTGAGGGCGTGAGGTCAGAGTGTTGAGGGCGTGAGGTCAGAGTGTTGAGGGCGTGAGGTCAGAGTGTTGAGGGCGTGAGGTCAGAGTGTTGAGGGCGTGAGGTCAGAGTGTTGAGGGCATGAGGTCAGAGTGTTGAGGGCATGAGGTCAGAGTGTTGAGGGCATGAGGTCAGAGTGTTGAGGGCATGAGGTCAGAGTGTTGAGGGCATGAGGTCAGAGTGTTGAGGGCATGAGGTCAGAGTGTTGAGGGCATGAGGTCAGAGTGTTGAGGGCATGTGAGATCAGAGTGTTGAGGGCATGAGGTCAGAGTGTTGAGGGCATGAGGTCAGAGTGTTGAGGGCATGTGAGATCAGAGTGTTGAGGGCATGAGGTCAGAGTGTTGAGGGCGTGAGGTCAGAGTGTTGAGGGCCTGTGAGATCAGAGTGTTGAGGGCATGAGGTCAGAGTGTTGAGGGCATGAGGTCAGAGTGTTGAGGGCATGAGGTCAGAGTGTTGAGGGCATGAGGTCAGAGTGTTGAGGGCATGTGAGATCAGAGTGTTGAGGGCATGAGGTCAGAGTGTTGAGGGCATGAGGTCAGAGTGTTGAGGGCATGTGAGATCAGAGTGTTGAGGGCATGAGGTCAGAGTGTTGAGGGCGTGAGGTCAGAGTGTTGAGGGCTGTGAGATCAGAGTGTTGAGGGCATGAGGTCAGAGTGTTGAGGTCGTGAGGTCAGAGTGTTGAGGGCATGTGAGATCAGAGTGTTGAGGGCATGAGGTCAGAGTGTTGAGGGCATGAGGTCGAGTGTTGAAGGCATGAGGTCAGAGTGTTGAGGGCATGTGAGATCAGAGTGTTGAGGGCATGAGGTCAGAGTGTTGAGGGCGTGAGGTCAGAGTGTTGAGGGCATGAGGTCAGAGTGTTGAGGGCATGTGAGATCAGAGTGTTGAGGGCATGAGGTCAGAGTGTTGAGGGCGTGAGGTCAGAGTGTTGAGGGCATGAGGTCAGAGTGTTGAAGGCATGAGGTCAGAGTGTTGAGGGCATGTGAGATCAGAGTGTTGAGGGCATGAGGTCAGAGTGTTGAGGGCGTGAGGTCAGAGTGTTGAGGGCGTGAGGTCAGAGTGTTGAAGGCATGAGGTCAGAGTGTTGAGGGCATGTGAGATCAGAGTGTTGAGGGCGTGAGGTCAGAGTGTTGAGGGCATGAGGTCAGAGTGTTGAAGGCATGAGGTCAGAGTGTTGAGGGCATGTGAGATCAGAGTGTTGAGGGCATGAGGTCAGAGTGTTGAGGGCATGAGATCAGAGTGTTGAGGGCATGAGGTCAGAGTGTTGAGGGCATGTGATCAGAGTGTTGAGGGCATGAGGTCAGAGTGTTGAGGGCATGAGGTCAGAGTGTTGAGGGCATGTGAGATCAGAGTGTTGAGGGCATGAGGTCAGAGTGTTGAGGGCGTGAGGTCAGTTTTGAGGGCGTGAGGTCAGAGTGTAGAGGCCATGAGGTCAGAGTGTTGAGGGCATGAGGTCAGAGTGTTGAGGGCGTGAGGTCAGAGTGTTGAGGGCATGAAGTCAGAGTGTTGAGGGCGTGAGGTCAGAGTGTTGAGGGCATGAGGTCAGAGTGTTGAGGGCATGAGGTCAGAGTGTTGAGGGCGTGAGGTCAGTTTTGAGGGCGTGAGGTCAGAGTGTTGAGGGCATGAGGTCAGAGTGTTGAGGGCATGAGGTCAGAGTGTTGAGGGCGTGAGGTCAGAGTGTTGAGGGCGTGAGGTCAGAGTGTTGAGGGCATGAGGTCAGAGTGTTGAGGGCGTGAGGTCAGAGTGTTGAGGGCATGAGGTCAGAGTGTTGAGGGCATGTGAGATCAGAGTGTTGAGGGCATGAGGTCAGAGTGTTGAGGGCGTGAGGTCAGAGTGTTGAGGGCGTGAGGTCAGTTTTGAGGGCGTGATGTCGGAGTGTTGAGGGCGTGAGGTCAGAGTGTTGAGGGCATGAGGTCAGAGTTTTGAGGGCGTGAGGTCAGAGTGTTGAGGGCGTGAGGTCAGAGTGTTGAGGGCGTGAGGTCAGAGTGTTGAGGGCATGAGGTCAGAGTTTTGAGGGCATGTGAGATCAGAGTGTTGAGGGCATGAGGTCAGAGTGTTGAGAGCATGAGGTCAGAGTGTTGAGGGCATGTGAGATCAGAGTGTTGAGGGCATGTGATCAGAGTGTTGAGGGCATGTGAGATCAGAGTGTTGAGGGCATGAGGTCAGAGTGTTGAGGGCATGTGAGATCAGAGTGTTGAGGGCATGAGGTCAGAGTGTTGAGGGCATGAGGTCAGAGTGTTGAGGGCATGTGAGATCAGAGTGTTGAGGGCATGAGTTCAGAGTGTTGAGGGCGTGAGGTCAGTTTTGAGGGCGTGATGTCGGAGTGTTGAGGGCGTGAGGTCAGAGGGGCGTGAGGTCAGAAGTCGTGATGTCGGAGGGGCGTGAGGTCAGAGGGGCGTGATGTCAGAGGGCGTGATGTCGGAGTGTTGAGGGCATGTGAGATCAGAGTGTTGAGGGCATGAGGTCAGAGTGTTGAGGGCATGAGGTCAGAGTGTTGAGGGCATGTGAGATCAGAGTGTTGAGGGCATGAGTTCAGAGTGTTGAGGGCATGTGATCAGAGTGTTGAGGGCATGAGGTCAGAGTGTTGAGGGCATGAGGTCAGAGTGTTGAGGACATGAGGTCAGAGTTTTGAGGGCGTGAGGTCAGAGTGTTGAGGGCGTGAGGTCAGAGTGTTGAGGGCATGTGAGATCAGAGTGTTGAGGGCATGAGGTCAGAGTGTTGAGGGCATGAGGTCAGAGTGTTGAGAGCATGAGGTCAGAGTGTTGAGGGCATGTGAGATCAGAGTGTTGAGGGCATGAGTTCAGAGTGTTGAGGGCATGTGATCAGAGTGTTGAGGGCATGTGAGATCAGAGTGTTGAGGGCATGAGTTCAGAGTGTTGAGGGCATGTGATCAGAGTGTTGAGGGCATGTGAGATCAGAGTGTTGAGGGCATGAGGTCAGAGTGTTGAGGGCATGAGGTCAGAGTGTTGAGGGCATGAGGTCAGAGTGTTGAGGGCATGAGGTCAGAGTGTTGAGGGCGTGAGGTCAGAGTGTTGAGGGCGTGAGGTCAGTTTTGAGGGCGTGATGTCGGAGTGTTGAGGGCGTGAGGTCAGAGGGGCGTGATGTCAGAGGGCGTGATGTCGGAGTGTTGAGGGCATGTGAGATCAGAGTGTTGAGGGCATGAGGTCAGAGTGTTGAGGGCATGTGAGATCAGAGTGTTGAGGGCATGAGTTCAGAGTGTTGAGGGCATGTGATCAGAGTGTTGAGGGCATGTGAGATCAGAGTGTTGAGGGCATGAGTTCAGAGTGTTGAGGGCATGTGATCAGAGTGTTGAGGGCATGTGAGATCAGAGTGTTGAGGGCATGAGGTCAGAGTGTTGAGGGCATGAGGTCAGAGTGTTGAGGGCATGAGGTCAGAGTGTTGAGGGCATGTGAGATCAGAGTGTTGAGGGCATGAGTTCAGAGTGTTGAGGGCATGTGATCAGAGTGTTGAGGGCATGTGAGATCAGAGTGTTGAGGGCATGAGGTCAGAGTGTTGAGGGCATGAGGTCAGAGTGTTGAGGGCATGTGATCAGAGTGTTGAGGGCATGTGAGATCAGAGTGTTGAGGGCATGAGGTCAGAGTGTTGAGGGCATGAGGTCAGAGTGTTGAGGACATGAGGTCAGAGTTTTGAGGGCGTGAGGTCAGAGTGTTGAGGGCATGAGGTCAGAGTGTTGAGGGCATGAGGTCAGAGTTTTGAGGGCGTGAGGTCAGAGTGTTGAGGGCGTGAGGTCAGTTTTGAGGGCGTGATGTCGGAGTGTTGAGGGCGTGAGGTCAGAGGGGCGTGAGGTCAGAAGTCGTGATGTCGGAGGGGCGTGAGGTCAGAGGGGCGTGATGTCAGAGGGCGTGATGTCGGAGTGTTGAGGGCATGAGGTCAGAGTGTTGAGGGCGTGAGGTCAGAGGGGCGTGAGGTCAGAGGGGCGTGAGGTCAGAGGGCGTGAGGTCAGAGGGCGTGAGGTCAGAGGGGCGTGAGGTCAGAAGGCGTGATGTCGGAGGGGTGTGAGGTCAGAAGGCGTGAGGTCAGAGGGGCATGATGTCAGAGGGGCGTGAGGTCAGAGGGACGTGATGTCGGAGTGTTGAGGGCGTGAGGTCAGAGGGCGTGATGTCGGAGGGCCTGCAGGTGCTTGTCAATGTCAAGGACTCACCTGTAACCTGTAGTTTACATTGATCACAGACAGCAGCTTCACTAGTTCTGCAGTTTGTTGAAAATGAACGTTCGCTAATAGGAGAGAAAGAAGTAGTCATGTGACGATGCAGCCGTTCTGTCTGAATGTATTATGCAGGGCAGTATCCACCATTAAGTGGGAGGGACTTGCCACAAGTCCCTCCCATTCATTAGAAATGGCCCAATTACCCCCCCCCCCCCCCCCCCCATTTTTGTTATTATCCATGATTCGCTGCTACACCCCATTACGCGCGGCTCTGTTTGATATTAGGATGACCAAAAATTTTAAAACTAAAATTTTCAGGCTGCTCTGCCTCAGCGGTCTTAACAGCGCTCGTCAATGTCAAAATGATTGAAACGGCCAATGAAATCAAAGAAGGCGGGCCTTACAGTTCACAGAACACAATAAGTGCAAATTCCAACGAGACACTTTAGTTTTAACAGTGAAAGAGTGTGTGGTAAGATGCAAGTAGCTAAACATTTCATATTTAACAACTATTCACTATAGAAATGTTCAACGACTAAGAGTGAATGTGAACATATTATTTGCAAATAAGTCAAATAGATTACTTCATCATAACTACTATTAAATTACCATCTCATTTATTGGTAGGCTATTATGTGTTTTCTGTCATGGGCTCACCATCCGCTGTGCCGTGTAGAATCAGGAAGCGTAACTCGTCGGAGCGCGAGCTGTTCGGCAGGAGGCTGGAGATCTGAAGGACACAGTAACAGTTTAGTTTATTAGTTTTTTACTAAAAAAACTAATACACTAAACAGTGCTTGTGATGTTGAATCCGTTCAACCGCAGAGAGTCGAGCCTCTCGTTCACATGGCACCACATTCACTTTCAGCCCAACAAACACTGAATCACAATCAAAAGCAGGGCTGGGAAGAAATATATGTTAATTCATGCGAGAGACAAATTAGGGTAATGATAGACAGAGAAACAAGTTATTTCAACCCGATCTCACGAGAATTCGTACGAATTTTACGAGGTGGCTAATTCGTAACAATTCACGTACGAATTAGTACGTTTTTGCTAAATCATACAAATTTGACGAATTGGCCAATTCGTATGAATTAGTACGAATGAATTACCCCTGACCCCGCCCATAAACCTACCCATCACGTGGGTTTGGACAAATCGTACGAATTCGTACGAGTGAGGTTGTATGAATTAGTACGAATTAGCCACTTTTTAATCACTCGGATGAATTCCTACGAATTGTTCGTGAGATAGCGTAGGTTATTTCATACTTAATAAAAGGTTTGCATGATGATTTTATAGTTTTATTGAAATTAAAAGTTATTACTTATCGATAATGCTCTTATTGTTAATAAACAAAAGAAGTCTGATAATTTAGTTTAAGTCAAATAAATGATTATATCTTTCAAATATGCTGTAAAATAATAAAAAAAATCCAGTTGGCGATTAGAAGTAACGCAAGTTCCTTATAGTTTTCCAATGTATTGACTTGATCCTGTCCCTATGCCGAGAGAAACCGTGACGCATTACTTTCCAGAAAAAATGTACGCAATTATTAACTTTTTTAGGGAGTGTATTTCATTTCTTTTAAAAGTAAGTTTTCCAACACTAAATGTCGCACATCTTTGTGTCTCAAATCATACAACATCTTACCTTGTATTTGAGCTCATTTTGTATGGGGAAGCCGAAGTATCTCTCTGTGAAGGTGGAAGCTGTGGAGAAACACAGAATGGTTACACTAGTGTGTGTGTGTGTGTGTGAAGTAATCTTTATTTATATAGTGCTTTTTTACAATGCAGATTGTTTCAAAGCAGCTTTACAGAGATAACAGGAAAATAAAATAGCGTCATATTCCAGTTTAAGTACGTTCAGTGATGGGTAAAAAAAGTTATTCATTTAGTTCACTTATATATTTAGTAGAGCCAGACCGATATATCGGCAGACCGATATTATCGGTTGATATTAGGCATTTTCCAAACTATCGGTATCGGCAGTTATAATGGCTGATAAATTAGCATTTCAAAAATAAAATAAAAACAGACGAAACACGCTTGAACCATGTTATGAGTGTTGGAGTTGTATGGTTTGTCCACCAGAGGGCGCTCTACACCGTTCCTGTTGGCAACACTCGTTGAGTTGGTCACAAGACATACATTGCTTGAATAACAATTTAAAGAACATAACTCAAATAAGCATGACAAAATTTGTGACTATCATGTCCAGTTTAAAATAAATAAATAAATAAAATATCGGCCGATATATCGTAATATCGGATTTTAAAACCCAAAAATATTTGTATCGGTATCGGCCTTCAAAATCCTTTATCGGTCGGACTCTAATATTTAGCCACCCTAGAGAAAACAGTGTGTGTGTGCGTACTTGAGTGTGTGGTTGTGCTGTGTGTTTGAGTGGAGTATGTGCCAAGTGAGTTTGTGTGCGTGCATACGTTTGTTCATGTGTGAGTGTGTGTGTGCGTACTTGCGTGTGTGAGAGAGAGAGTGTGTGTGTGTGTCACACGTACCGTAGAGTTGCCAGTCGAACACTGGAGTGATGGCAGCGCCGCAGCGGAGAGCAGAACTGTGAGAGAGCAGCAGAAGCGAACTCAGAAATCCACCGTACACCTGCACACACACACACACACACACACACACTTCATTATGCACATCTGATGCCTGAGATCGACTCACATACTTTGAAATGTACAAAAACACTATAGGTTTTGATCTTGTAGAGCCTGTTTCTATTTCTGTGCTGAAACTTTAATTATAGTTCAGGTATTTTTAAGTTGATTTGAGGACTGATTTGTTTCACTTTCTGTGCTTTTTTTGGCCAATGATTAAAGCATTAAAGCCTGCTGAGTGTAAATCCTACGTCATACAGGTGTCATCATTTACAGTGATTTACTCTCCCTCACACTGTAAAAACAAATACGCTTTATCTAATCAAAAAAATTGTGGCAACAGATTGCAAGCAATATTATTAATTAAATTTAACAAATTAGAATTGAGTAATAATTAATCAAATTAATTCCTCAAAAGTTAACCACTTAAAATGAGTAAAACTTAAAAAAAAAAAAAAACGTACATTTAAGTTTAAGTGATTGTTTTAAAATTACGGTTTTCTCCTTTAGTGATTCTGCTTGTTAACATCAGGTGTCTTTAATGTTGACAATATAATATAAATATTTCTTAATTACTCTTCGACATCTGTCTGTTATTTCGATATTTTTGTTGAATTTGGGGGTGTAAACTTTACTCATTTTAAATGGTTAACTGTAAAGGAATTAATTTGATTAGTTATTACTCAATTCTTATTTGTTAAATTGAATTAATAATATTGCTTGTAATCTGTTGCCACAATTTTATTGATTAGATAAAGTATATTATTTTTTACAGTTGTTTCTTCTGCTGAACACAAAAGACATTTTGAGAAATATATCAGTGTTTTTTTGTTTGTTTGTTTGTTTTTGGGTTTGTCCATACAATGAAAGTCAGTGATGTTTGGTTTCCATTGTTCAAGTCAAGTCACATGTATTTCTATAGGGCTTTATTCAATACAGATTGTTTTAAAGCAGCAATAAACAGGAAAATAACAGAAGCAATGATGCAAACTTCAAGTTCAGTCGTAAAGCAGCTCTTAGAGACAATAGTGTCATTATTGGATGAGAAGAAAACTTGAACTGATCTCAATAGTGTCAGTGCAGTCGAAATAATAATATTACTGAAGATTAAGTGTCTTTATCCCTAAACAACTAAACTAAAGCAAAGAGCCCAAACTCCATCATGATATCTTCAAAATATCTTCTTTTGTTTTCAACAGGTTTGAATGACATGAGGATGAGTAAATTATGAAAACCTCACCTTGCCAAAAACCCCGACTCTGCCTCCATCGATGTACGGCTGCTTCACCAGATGCCTGCCGCAGACAAACACACAAATCCTGTAATGCTAACATGTGAGTTTGAATAGCATGGTAACACTTTACAATACGAGTGCACTAATAAGCATTAATTCATGCTTAACTAATGCACAGATAATACTGAATTAATGTGTAACCAATGATTATCTAAGCTATTCATTAATGATTACCACATTCTGTAAGGTTAATGTATTAGTTCATGAATTGTTATTAATTAAATATGTAATTGTGGATTAATTCCATAATAACTTATTTTAACTAATAGTGTTAATTAATATGTTAATTACCAGAATGAGCCAAAGCCTTTTATTTCAACTTCCAGATAATATGACAGGTACTAGAGCCAGACCGATATATCGGCAGACCGATATTAAGCATTTTCCAAACTATCGGTATCGGTAGTTGTAATGGCCGAAAAATTAATATTTCAAAAATAAAATAAAAACGGATGAAACACGCTTGAACCATGTCATGAGTGTTGGAGTTGTATGGTTTGTCCACCAGAGGGCACTCTACACCGTTCCTGTTGGCAACACACGTTTAGTTGGGCACGAGACATACATTGCTTGAATAACAATTAAAAGAACATAACTCAAATAAGCATGACAAAATTTGTGACTATAATATCCAGTTTAAAAAATAAATAAATAAAATATCGGCCGATATATCGGAATATCGGATTTTAAAACCCAAAAATATTTGTATCGGTATCGGCCTTCAAAATCCTTTATCGGTCGGGCTCTAACAGGTACACTAATATGCATTAATACATGATTAATTACTTCATTGTTACTGCAAATTCATGTGCAAATTACTAAATGACTAGTTAATAATGATGTGCCCCAACAAGTAAAGTCATAATGATATCTTTGCAAATCATTAGCTAATGATTAATTAAAGCAGACAACTGGAAGTTGAAGTGCATAGCTTTGATTAATTGTGGTAATTAACACAGTAATTTACTCTATTAGTTAATAAAATATGTTATTACACAATGACACATTGAATTAATAGCAATTAATGTATTACTTAATCTATTAATCATATAGACTCTTTACTAGTTGCTGATGCAGTAATCATTAATTAATGGTTTAGTTCTTCATTAGTTATACATTAACTCATGATTATCTGTGCATTATGTAAGTATGAATTAATGCATATTAGTGCACCCGTATTGTAAAGTGTTACCGTTTTTCACTTACTTTCTAATGCAGCCCTAGTGTGGACAGACACATTGATGGATTTTTTTTTTACTCACTCTAAAACCGAGAGTTGATCGTCTGCGTCCACGAGTCCCAAACGCTTGTAAACGCCCTGGAGAATCTGCTGGCCCTGAAAGCCACTCCCTCTGCCATCGGCCCGCGCCACAATCACACCATCACAGCCCACCAGCACATCGGCCCAATCCAGACGAAAGCGCTCGTTCACCTGCTGGCAGCCGGGACCACACTCACTGTCTCACACACACACACACAGAGAGAGAGAGAGAGGTCAGGCAGATCCGATCTGATGTGCTAGATGGATGCACTAAGGCCTCGTTTACACCGCATGGTTCAAGTGACCCAAATCCGATTTTTTCCTCTCATGTGGCACAGATCGGATATGACCGGTGAATGTGTAAGCAGGAAAAAAACGCATGGATTTTGATTTTCTCAGATCGGATTCAGGCCTCATTCAGATGTGGTAATAAATCGGATATGAATCAGATACGTGCATTTGCGTGTGCCATGTAAGCAGACAAATCGGATATTCCCCAGTAAATGTGAGTCGTCCGTCATTAAAAAGTGTGCGATTATAGGCGCGAGCCGCGCGATGGAAGAAAGGATACACACAGGGGAGCAATGCGGAGGTTTCATGTGTTTTGAGTGTTTGGGGTGAAGAGTGCAGGCAAAAATGCAGGGTTGTTACAGAAATAAATCCGTATTTGAAGACATTTCACGAGATATGAGGCATCGTTTTAAGCGCTCGTGGCTACAGTGCATTTCCTCCCCTCTTTTTTCTCCGCCGTACGAGACCAATGTTTTGATGACTTTTCAAAATATTGTGGAAAACACTGGATAATTTTATTCACATCTGTATCCATTGCATTTTGTGCTGTTTTACTTAATTTCCCGGGTCAGAAGGTCTACATTTGGTAGTTTCAGCAGTGTATAGTGTAAATGCAAAATCGGATACGGGTCACTTTTAAAAGTTGATGTAAGCAGGTCGTCAAAAAATCGGATATAGTCAGAAAATCGGATTTGGGCATCAAGACCTGCAGTGTAAATGCAGCCTAAATCTCGCTGCTTTTTCAGTTTCAAGTGCATATGATTTAAACTAAAGGATTAGTTGACGTCAGAATTAAAATGTATCCCCACGTCATCCAAGATATTCATGTCTTTCTTTCTTCAGTCGAAAAGAAATTAAGGTTTTGAGGAAAACGTTCCAGGATAGGGGTGTAACGATACCCTCATGTCACGATTCGATATTGGACAGTGGGGGCGGGTCTGTCCAAACAACAAACACCCCAACAAACACAAACCACCGCAAGTCAGTCCAGGGCCCATATGCAAAATAAAATGGTAGCCACCCCATTTTATTATGGTAGTAATACATTATATATTACTTTTGAGTTACTTTCACCAAAATATCTATACAGAAGTAGAACTTAACGTTCTATAAAGGGCTGTAACGAAATGCGATATGAAAACGAAATCGCGATTGGTGACACTCAGATCCACGACACCCCTTCCAACTCCCAGCGTTATCCTCGTTCCCGTATCGATCCAATGCTACCACATCTTTACATTACACTGAAAAAAAAATATTGATGGTTTAACTTAAAAAAGTAAGTAACCTGGTTGCCTTAATTTTAAGTTCATTGAACTGGAAAAAGTGAGTTAATACAATGAAGGAGATTAATTTAACCATCAGAAACTCAAAATTATATGTTATCTGAACTAAATAAATTATTTAAGTTGATTTGATAAAAGAAAAATGTTGTGATTACTAAACTGTAAAAAAATATTGTTGGTTTAACTTAAAAAAGTAAGTAACCTGGTTGCCTAAATTTTAAGTTGATTGAACTGGAAAAAGTGAGTTAATACAATGAAGTAGATTAATTTAACCATCAGAAACTCCAAATAATAAATTATCTCAACTAAATAAGTTGATTTGACAAAAGAAAATATGTTGTGATAACAAATCTTGAAAATATTTTTTACAGTGTACTATTATTATTATTTGAGGTTAACATTATAAAATACTTATACACACCACAAAACTAGTTGAGGATAAATTATTTTAAAATTGGGGAATTCCTGCGCGGCGTTATATGGACGTGGCATTTGCAGTCAAAACTTGAAAAGCATTAATAGCCTACCAATATATTGAAACAAATGTTTATCCATGCTACTCCCTTAGAGGAGTCCAGACATTAGAAAAATATCAGTCTACACATGCGTTTTTATATTTAATATATAAGGAAATAGACGTGCATTCATGTGCGACAAAAAACTTTTAGAAGGCAAAATGTATATTTTTTTGCGATTCGAATTATGTTCTCCACAGAACATAAAATATTCATTTTATTTTATTTTTCGTGTCCGCATTTATGAGGAAAAACAATGTTACAGACTGAGACGTCACGTGACAGTTCCCCGTTATTCGGACGTGGGCGCTTTGAAGCGGCACTAAAAACTTGTCAGAAAAGCACAAAACCTTAATTTCTTTTTGAAAGACATGAATAATATCTTGGATGACATGGAGAAGAGAAAATTATCAGGAAAATTTTAAATTTAAAAGTGAACTAATGCTTCAGTTCAATTATTAATTCTGTTTTAATACAAAACATGAACTTTTTCCTTTTTCAATAAATCTTGAAGTTCCTGCTGTGAATTAATCTCTGTGTCGAAAACAAGATTGTTTTTCTGAACACATTGGTAGATTGTTTTGTTTGTTTTAAGCATAAACTTGCTTCATTATGACAAATTCTTTCAGAAAGCAATACTTTATATCTTCAATAATTTTGCTTCTCCAGAAAATCTACCTTGATTTAGGAATTTTTAGATATTTGTAGGCCTACACTTGAAAACAAGACTGAAATACTGAGGAAGAACTTCAATTTTGCTGAGTATTACTATGAATCTTTAAACTTTAAGTATTGGATAAAGCACTTTAAAAGGTGACTTGACTTGTGTGTGTGTGTGTATTCAGGTTTCAGGTCACGCCTTCATCATGAGAACATGCTGATGTCCTTGGAAATAAACATACTAAACGATTTTTATTTTTTTATTGTTAATTATTCTTTCACATTATTGACTCTACTGTATGCTGATATGATTATGTCCAAATGTGAGATCTCTGCTGTCTCATGTGTACGAGTATTTCATCAGAACTGATCATGTGATGTACCTTTGAATCAAATACGTCCGTTTCTATTTCTCCAGACATGAAATTATGCAAGATCAGTCAGTCTAAAAGGTGTCAACACTTCATATCTATTTTAATTTGTCTTTGACATTTGACCAGTCACTTCCACCTACTGTATAGCCGTTACACAACTGACATAGATAGGCTACGTGTGTGCGACCATTTCTTATCAGACCACAACACAAGTTTAAGAGGATGTATGTTTTTTGCAGTGTTTTCTTCTGCTTCTTTGCTTCAAAATCTCCTTTCATTCTGCAAATCTTTCTACTTTTGCCTCCTTATTTCTCTACTCAGATCTTCATTCATAGGTGTGTGTGTGTGTGTGTGTGTGTGTGTGTGATCGTACAGCAGCAGCAGGAGAGGGTACTGCTTACTCTCTTCAAACTGTGGAGGGAAGCTGAGCTCGACTCTCAGTGCTGTGAACACACACATGAAACACACATCATCACTTACAGCAAAAATCTGAATGCGAGCAAACCGCCCGAGGCTACACTCAGACTGAAGCGGCCCAATGCAGAGTTATGTTTTCACATATATTATCTGTTGAAACATGAACCACATGGGATCTGATTTGGGACACTTCAATATGTTTTGCAATGTGGTTTCAGTCTGAACAGAATTCGTGCTCAGTTTAAAGGCCTTGAACATTAACTACTGACGGTGACGGCCATGATGACGATGATCAGGAGGATGATGATTATGATTATTATGTGTTTTTGAAAAATGCCAGTTTTAGTTATGCTGTCTAAATACATACAGGTGAAACTCTTGTGCAAAAGTTCATTTGTTTCATTAATTCAACTTAAAAGGCGAAACTAATATGTTATATAGACTCATTACATGCAAAGTGAGATATTTCAAGCCTTTATTTGTTATAATTTTGATGATTATGGATTACATCTTATGAAAACCCCAGTCAAAATTAGAATATTGTGAAAAGATTTTCATATCTGTTTCACTTGTATGTCTTTCTGTTGTATCCCGTAACAGTTCGCACAGTGATGATGGTGAAGATGACTGTGATGATGATGACGGTGATGATGAAGATGACGGTGATGATGATAGCAGTGATGATGAAGATAACGGTGATGATGATGACGGTGATGATGAAGATGACGGTGATGATGATTGCAGGTGATGATGAAGATAACGGTGATGATGAAGATAACGGTGATGATGAAGATGACGGTGATGATGAAGATGACGGTGATGATGAAGATGATGGTGATGATTGCAGATGATGTTGGCAGTGATAATGAAGATAACGGTGATGATGATGATGGTGATGATGAAGATGACGGTGATGATGAAGATAACGGTGATGAAGATGACGGTGATGATGATTGCAGGTGATGAAGATAATGGTGATGATGAAGATAATGGTGATGATGAAGATGACGGTGATGATGAAGATAACGGTGATGATGATGACGGTGATGATGATTGCAGGTGATGAAGATAATGGTGATGATGAAGATAATGGTGATGATGAAGATGACGGTGATGATGAAGATAACGGTGATGATGATGACGGTGATGATGATTGCAGGTGATGAAGATAATGGTGATGATGAAGATAATGGTGATGATGAAGATGACGGTGATGATGAAGATAACGGTGATGATGATGACGGTGATGATGTAGATGGTGGTGATGATGATAGCAGTGATGATGAAGATGACGGTGATGATGAAGATGACGGTGATGATGAAGATGATGGTGATGATTGCAGATGATGTTGGCAGTGATAATGAAGATAACGGTGATGAAGATAATGGTGATGATGAAGATGACGGTGATGATGAAGATAACGGTGATGAAGATGACGGTGATGATGATTGCAGGTGATGAAGATAATGGTGATGATGAAGATAATGGTGATGATGAAGATGACGGTGATGATGAAGATAACGGTGATGATGATGACGGTGATGATGATTGCAGGTGATGAAGATAATGGTGATGATGAAGATAATGGTGATGATGAAGATGACGGTGATGATGAAGATAACGGTGATGATGATGACGGTGATGATGTAGATGGTGGTGATGATGATAGCAGTGATGATGAAGATAACGGTGATGATGATGATGGTGATGATGAAGATGACGGTGATGATGAAGATAACGGTGATGAAGATGACGGTGATGATGATTGCAGGTGATGAAGATAATGGTGATGATGAAGATAATGGTGATGATGAAGATGACGGTGATGATGAAGATAACGGTGATGATGATGACGGTGATGATGTAGATGGTGGTGATGATGATAGCAGTGATGATGAAGATAACGGTGATGATGATGACGGTGATGATGAAGATGACGGTGATGATGATTGCAGGTGATGATGATGGTGATGATGAAGATAACGGTGAAGATGGTGGTGATGATAAAGATAACTGTGAGGATGACGGTGATGATGAAGATGGCGGTGATGATGATGACAGTGATGATGATGACGACGGTGATGATGAAGATGGCGGTGATGATGATGATTGCATTGATAATGAAGATGGCGGTGATGATGAAGATAACGGTAATGATGATGACGGTGATGATGAAGATAGCAGTGATGATGACGGTGATAATGATGATGATGGCGGTGATGATGATGATGATGACGGTGAAGATGAAGATGGCAGTGACGATGAAGATAACGGTGATGATGACGGTGATGATGAAGATGACTGTGATGATGATGATGATGATGATGTTGACTTCATACCCTGGTTGTTAATCTGTAAAGTCCTGATTTGTCTAACTGGACGTCGTTTCTTTCTGAATAATTCTCTGGTCTTCAGACGAGCATCTAGAGTCACATGATCTGCAGAGAGGGGTAGAAAGATAGCGAGACAACTGAAGATTCAGTCTGTTCTGATTTTTTTAATGCAAAATTAAAACAATAACAGCTTCTCAGTGTTGGGAAATAATCGTGGTGTAAGTGAGATAATCCACGGCTAGCTGTGGATTAAACCATTTAAACACACTCTGCTTTAATCTCTTCCCTTTATTTTGGCGGATTATAGTTGGTGTGCATCTGCTGATAGTTTTCTCAAATGAAATGCTGAAGTGACACTCAGATGACGTTTATGTCCTCATATGGAGTCGGCAGACAGCAGTTGATTAAAAGAATCAAAAATTAAAATGAAGTGATAATTGACAAATGGGAAAATTAAAAAATGAGTTGACCCGCTCGCGCTCGCCTATATAATGCCAGTGAACCAATGATCATGTCCCATTTTATTAATTTAAGTGAACTGTGATGCTAATAGAGTTCCATGAACGTGAAAACAAAAAGCCAAGGTCAGAATTTTTGTTAAGAACTAGATCTGGTTTTGTGTGTGTGTGTGAGAGAGAGAGAGAGAATCAGTGTTTGTGTTTGACTCACCGCTCATGTCACTGAGAAGGTGCACAGTGGTTTGGGGGATTCCTGGACCTGAACATAAAATACAAATTATTTACAGAAATCTTCAGCCATTTTTGCTAACCAGAATGAGTCTTGATATGTAAAGTCCAATGTGATGGTGTGAACTAGAGCTGCACGATCCTGATCCAAACACCGACGCTATCTTATTCCTCGGCTATTCTCCAATCACACAGAACAATCAGAGAGAGCCGTTGTCATGTATAGGTATGAAACCGCTTCACAAGAAGTTCCAGTATCATTTCTGTTACAATAATTCATATTTATGACAGAAGTACTGGGATAAAAGATCATAGTTCGGATATAAACACTGATGACTACGGTAGCGATCAAAATACAGTAAATCACCTTTTGACAGTTACTTGGCGCTTCAAATAAATTTATATCAATTACATCGTTACACCAGTAGGTGGCGACACGTGACTGTTAAAAAATGGATTCGTTCAAAAATAGGGAAGGGCAACGATTAATCGCATCCAAAATAAAAGTTTGTGTTTACATAATATACGTGTGTGTGCTGTGTATAATTATTTTGCATAAATAAATACACACACATGCATTTTTTAAAGAAAATGTGTTATTTAGATATAAAATATTTATATATAATATAAATTATGTATTTCAGTGTGTGTATATATATATATATATATATATATATATACACACAGTATATATGTGCAAAAAATTCTTAAATATATAGGCTACATGCATGTCTGTGTATTTATATATACATAATTATTTTACTCAGCACACTAGGGATGGGCAACGATTAATCGTGATTAATCGCATCCAAAATAAAAGTTTGAGTTTACATAATATATGTGTGTGTGTAATTAATTTGTATATATAAATACCCACACATGCATGTATATATTTAAGAAATATGTGCATGTGTATATTTTATATATATTTATTCACAATTAATATTATATATAAATATAAATATTTGATATATTAATAACACATTTTTCTTAAATGTATAGATGCATGTGTGGGTATTTATATATACAAATTAATTATACACACTACACACACATATATTATGTAAACACAAACTTTTATTTTGGATGCGATTAATCGTTGCCCATCCCTATTCAAAAATGCTGATTCATACAGTATTGAAACATTTATGAGTGAGTCATTAAATCAAGTGATTAAAATTCAAATTCATTATTTTAAAATACACTTCTTGTCAGAATCTCTTAGTCTTGTAAATGACGTTATTTTGTTTATATTCAGAATCATCGGGAAATCATGATTTTTATTTTAAACAAAAAATCTTGATGCTCAAATGTCTCCAGAATCGTGTGTGTGTGTGTGTGTGTGTGTGTGTGTGTGTGTGCAGGTCATTTACCCCTGCAGTTCAGCAGCACAGCTCGACCTTGTGGACTCAGTGAGGCTTCGTAGAATGAACAGTGAGGTTTAAACAAAGAACAGCTCAAGCACTCGCGATGGAACGGATCCACCGTGCTCACCCTGGAGGTCAAAGGTCACACTGCTGTAATGTGAGGCATTCAGGATGAATAAAAACAAAAGTGTGTGTAGATTCAGTGAGTCTGACCTGTACAGGTGCCTGTGACTGAACCCAGCCTCTGTACTGAGAAAATATCTGGAAGAAAACACACGTATCAGACATTTAAAAGGCTTGTGTGTGTGTGTTTGTGAACAAGTGACTCACACTGTATCCCTCTTTTCATCGTAGGTCAGGATCTCGGTGACCTCCCAGGTGCCTGAGGTCAGGTGACGCACGCTGACCTCTTCACCTTCAGGCTGAAAGCAGAAGAGGTAACACACACATTTCAAAGACGTGATTTTTGGGGGGCTCTACTCTAAAGATCAAAATCCACCTTATTTTTCCCATTTTTGACTCTTCCCAGTGCATGTTTTAAGTGTGTATGGTTTGTGCACTTTTATACCTGCTCTGACATCATGGCGAGGTGTCTGAAGGATCCTCGGTCTCCGCTTCTGAGTGGAGATGTCATGAGAAATGTTGCTCCATCTTTAGAGAAAACTGGTTTTTCATTCTGCACAAATCAGATGAGAGCGTCAGATTACTTCAGCTAAGGGAAAAAATATGGCAACGTGTAAAGTGACGTAATCTTTACCTGTCTGTCAATCCATGTGTCTGATGTCATGACATGCTTCTGCAATGAGAGACCAAAACCAATGTTTATGTGTTTGCGTCGTACACATGCAGTATATGTTTGTGCCATTCAGAATTGAATTAAGATGCCTTTTAATCAATCAATCAATCAATCAATCAACGTTTATTTCTATAGCGCTTTACACAACCGTCAGGTATCCAAAGTGCTTCACATCATAAAAAGAATAAAACATAATAAAACAGCATATTATACAATAGATACATATAACAAAAAAGGAAAGAAAAAAGTCAACATAAATGGTATTAAAACTAAAGCCATACTAAATAAGTGAGTTTATTTAGAAAACTCACTAAAAACTCACTCTAAATACGTAAGTTTATTCAGTGGGGTCACCTGACCCCACTTTTAAATTCCAATTCAGTTCCTTAATTGGAATTGAGGTAGCAAGTTGAAAAGTTAAATACAAGGAAGTAGAATTAAAATTAATTGAAATTATAATTAGGGCTGTCAAACGATTAATCGCGATTAATCACATCCAAAATAAAAGTTTGTGTTTACATAATATACTGTGTATAATTATTTTGTATATATATAAATACACACATGCATGTATATTTAAGAAAAAAAAATATTTATATATAAAATAATTATTTTATATAAAATTTAACATGAAAATATTTCTTAAATATATACATGCATGTATATTTAAGAAAAAAAATATTATTTATATATAAAATATTTATATTTATATAAAAATTTAAATTGAAAATAACATGAAAATATTTCTTAAATATATATATATGCATGTGTGTGTATTTATATATATAAAATAATTATACACAGTGCACCCACATATATTATGTAAACACAAACTTTTATTTTGGATGTGATTAATCGCGATTAATCGCTTGACAGCCCTAATTTAAATCCTTGAATTTCCTTGAAAGGATAGACCAGGATGGAAGAGCACTTCATTTCCCATAATGCATCAGTGCTGCAGCTCTGTTGAGGCCAATTCAGTTCAGATTCTCTCTCATGAATGGTGTGTGTGAGAAACGCTCACCGCCACACATTTCCCCGTGTGTGTGTAGCACAGTGTGAGAATGGAGGCGTTCTGGGGACGGTTTAACCAGCGTACAGCGATACACTCGTCAGTCACCCACTGCACCATGCTGATATAGAGCTCGCTGCGCACACACACACACACAATAGCCTGTAATCTCAAACATTATGAACATCTGAAGGTTTAGAAATGGAAAAGTATTTTTAAAGAGGACCTGTTACACTTTTTTGATGTTGTTTTTGGGCTCTACTTGAACAGGTTTTGAATGTGGATAATTTCATAAAAGATACAAAAACAAGTGTGTGTGTGTGTGTGTGTGTGTGTGTGTGTGTGGTACCTTCTCTGTAAGCTGACGGGAGGCAGGAGTTGTGTAGTGTGTGTGGATCCGTTCACACTGACCACATTCAGTGTCACTTCAGGATTTGCCTGTCCAGCCTGTTGCACACAGTGAGTGAAATGAAGTGAAATCCTGAGTTCTGTTGTCTTGTGTCTTTCTTCAATCGAAAAGAAATGAAGGTTTTTGAGGAAAACACTCCAGGATGTTTCTTCATATAGTGACTTCAATAGGGTCCAACGGGTCGAAGGTCCAGATGTGAGTTTCAGTGCGGATCACACGATCCAGCCAAGGAATAAGAGTCTGATCTAGACAAACCAGCACACATTTTGAAGAAAAAAAGTATTATGCTCATAATATGCTCATCTTGCACTAGCTGTGATGCGACACACATTATGTAATCACACTGAAGTAGTTCACTTTAAAAAAAAAACAAACTTTTGCTGATAATTTACTCACCCCCATGTCATCCAAGATGTCCATGTCTTTCTTTCTTCAGTCGAAAAGAAATTAAGGTTTTTGATGAAAGCATTCCTGGATTTTCTCCATATCATGGACTTCAATGGGGTCCAAACGGTTCAAGGTCCAAATGAGAGTTTCAGTGTAGCTTCAAAGCTCTTTAAACGATTCCAGATGATGAATAAGGGTCTTATCGAGGGCCCTTTGAGTCATGACACAAAAAAAGATTCGTTCATTTTGATGAACGAGTTCGATCAGGAGAGTCACAAACGTGCATCACAGAACAGAGCAAGGCGAGCATTTTGAGCTTATAAAACTTAATTTTTTTTTTTTTTTTTTTAAATGACCACTTGTTTCGCTTGATAAGACCCTTATTCATCGTCTGGAATCGTTTAAAGCCCTTTGAAGCTGCATTGAAACTCTCATTTGGACCTTGAACCGTTTGGTTCCCATTGAACTCCATTATATGGAGAAAAATCCTGGAATGTTTTCATCAAAATCCTTAATTTCATTTCGACTGAAGAAAGAAAGACATGGACATCTTGGATGACATGGAGGTGAGTAAATTATCAGCAAAAGTTTTTTTTAAAAGTGAACTACTCCTTTAAAAGGTCACACGTGGCGTAGGCTGCAGAACTGACCCAGTGTCAACATGCAGACTAAGTCAAACGCCATTTACAAAAAATTTAAATAAATAAATGTAAAACAATGATATCGGACGATTTTAAAATTGGAGGCCTTCTCTACATTTCTGAACAGGAACACCTGTGACCTTTCACCCTGATCACGTAATGTGTGGCGCATTACAGCGAGTGTGAGACCAGTATTTGTAGTTAAAAAGTATATAAATGTTTATTTTGTTCTAAATGTCCACTGGTTTGTCTAGATCAGACTCTTATTCCTCGGCTGGATCTTGCCGAGTCTTTGAAGCTGCACTGAAACTCGACCCGTTGGACCCCATTGAAGTCACTACTGAAGTCACTTTCTTTTCCACTGAAGAAAGACATGAATATCTTGGATGACGTGGGGGAGAGTAAATTATCAGGACTAGTCCTTCAAGCTTTGGTAAGATGCGTATTCAACAGCAGACGGAGGCAGACGGATGTGCGGCTAACCTTCGGGTACGGATACTGATGTCCACGAGGATAAAGCGTCCCTGTGAAACGTGGAAGCTGCTCTTTGGGGACAAGAGTGTCATTGATGGTGAGAAATGCCAGACTGGATCCTGATGGAGACCACCAGTGAGCGCCTGAAGAATGCAGGACCTCCTCTAACAGCCAATCAGAGACAGATTCAAACAGGTCAGATTATTTTATATACATAAGCAATAAGGTAACGTTACGAGAGGCTGTGCTGTATCGTGAAGAAGTAACGGCTGAAGGGCGTTGTTGTTAGGCGCGACGCGAAGCCCTTAGCCTTGACGTCATTACTGACGTGGCGGCCATGTTGGAGGCTTACGCGCATGTAAACAGCAAGTCGAACGAGAAGAAGCAGCAGAGTTGGGATAAAGAAAAGAAAAAAATATGTTAAAATCCCTGAAAGGTTGTGGAATTTACCGGGATATGTTAAATAGGGAAGCCAGTGACCGGTATGTGGACTAAACCGGCACTTTTAACGATTTGGATCCATATGAAATTTCTAACAAAGAGTCGGCAAACAGTGGGAACAGGGTAATCCGGACAGATACGTTACCTGTCAACCCTCACGTGTTTTTCCGGGTTTCTCACGTACTTTTTCACGATCTCTTTTCCCGCTGTCTTGCCGTTTTATTATATTCCTGTAAAATATCCCATATTAAATATTCTCATAACATTAACCCTTTAATCGGACCTGTCAGTCTCTGTTGTTCTGTTGCTAAACTATTCACGATACAGCACTCGCCTCGACTACCTTATTGCCTTTATAAAACGGTTGCCACACAATATTAAAGTAAAAAACAATGTATTAGTGCAACTTTCTTAAAGTAAAATCACTGAAAGCCTTCCTTCCGCTAGAAAAAAATAGTCTCTGAGCGTGAACCGTGTTGTTCATAATCCCAGATAGCACAAGGGTATTTGATCTCCTATTTACATCTGGAAGACGTATTTTAAAGAGTGTTTGCTCATCTGCAAGACGTCTGCAGATGTCAAATAGACGTTTAGAAGATGTCTTTAAGCAACCCGGTCTCATCCCAAATCGTCATATAACTGACGTTTTGGGACGTCTTTTGACCATACGTCAATATTCGCCTTTTTAGGGCCCCCTTAAACGTCGGTAGATGAGGTTATGGGATCCTAACTCTACCCCAGACCTAAACTTAACCCTAAACCTAACCAGTCACCTAACTGACGTTAAAGGTAAAGCGTCAGTTGTATGACGGCCCGGGATCGCCATCTACCGACGTTTAAGGGGGCCCTAAAAAGGCGGATATTGACGTATGGTCAAAATACGTCCCAAAACGTCAGTTATATGACTTTTTGGGATGAGACTGTGTTACTTTAAGATGTAATGATTTAGAATGCATGTTAAACTGACATCTTATAACGTCTATTTGATATCTGACAGGAAACGTCCTATAGACGTCTTGCAGATGAGCAAACACTCTTTAAAATACGTCTTCCAGATGTAAATAGGAGATCAAACAGCCTTGTGCTATCTGGGATAGGGCTGTTCGATTCCGGATTTTTTGGAATCGATTCCGATTCCTGGTTCTGGAATCGAAAAGAATCGATTCCTCAGTTGTGTTTTTTTTAACCGTCTTACCGTTCCACACAGTGACAAACTTTCTACTTCGGGCGTGACAAAGCGACCGTTGCGAATCCAGTTGTCCTTCCTATTAGACTATTGCGTGTGCTGCATGGTCATAAATATAACGAGGCATTTACTTCCAGGCATGAAAATGAGTCTGGGGTGAAATAGGTTAAGGATATTACTAAGGGGGTCCGGTGGCATGCTCCCCCGTGAGAAAATTTTAAATATTCCATATTTTAAAGCATCAATCTGATGCATTTTGAGATGCATTTTTTTGACGTGATTGTGTTGACAAATGAAATCGGTGACAGGCCGCGGTTAGTGTTAAAAAAAAAAAATCTTAAAGGAGGAGTCGATTCCCCTTAATGGAATCGATTCCAACCTTTGGAATCGACTCTCAATTCCTAACGCCTCGGAATCGAGGAATCGATTCTTTTTGGAATCGATTCCCAGCCCTAGTTCATAACAGCGTGATGATGGTGTGTTACCCTCATAAAGCCAGTCAGTTATTCCATTAAATATGAGGCCATCTTGCCCCGATGACGTCAGTCTTAGAGAACTGCTCTTCACTTCTGGCTGATAGTAGATGTTATTCTCAAATATGTATACCTGAGACAGAGAGAGAACGAGAAAGAGAGAAGGCTTGAGTTACTAATGAGGACTTATGCCCTTTTTTCAAAGTCTGAATGTTGATTATTTTCCTCATATTCTCCATTGTTGCGGCTCCTCTTTTCCCAGTCTGTCAGTAACGCTCTGTTTACTTCCTGTCTCTATGAAGCCCCTCCTTCTGTATTTTTAATGTAAAAGTCTAGTCTGACTATAGGCTGCACAATATAAATGTTAACTGTAAACTTTGCGTTATAAGTGGTTTTGTTTGGTCTAACTCTAGCATATGACCGATGAGCCCAATATTAATATTATACCCATTTAGATGAATAGTTAAGGGTTTATGAAACCCAAATGACATATAGGACTAGTAATATTCAAAGCGTTGTGTGTTTTTCAACCCTTTTCTATGTGTTTGTCCAGCATGTCCTCAGTCCAGTGTTTTGTGAATCATTTTACATTTGGCTCCATTCATTTTAAAGATGCCGATTTTTTTTTCCCCCCGATTCCCAGTTCCCAAAACCGACAGGTTGAGTCCCAGTTTTAGTTTTCACCCTGACCGCAATTTAACTGAAATACTGTCAGTGACTTCAGTGTAGCCTAAATACATATTCCACCTTTACTGTTGCTTCTTACAAGACTGCAGCTACTTTTAACATGATATTTTCAATTTTTTATAGCTCTCCTGCACATATAAAATTTTCATGTGTGCTCAGTGCACTGCACTATATATATATATATATATATATATATATATATATATATATGAAGAGTTCAGATGCAAAAGCCTCTAAGTGCCATTTGAAATTTTCTTCTAGAATGATGATTTTTATCAAGCTTGTATATTTAAGTTCAGTGATTTCACTTTAATGGCAATGATAATTACCTATTAATTGTTATTTAAGTAAAATTACTGAACTTAAATATACAAGTTTGATAAAAATCATCATTCAAAAAGAAATTTTCAAATGGCATTTAGAGGCTTTTGCATCTGAACTCTTCATATATACATGTCCAATTAAGGCTCTTTCAGTTTGATCTGTTTCACATCAGCTTATAAAATCGCAATGCTTTTTAGTGGTTGTTTTGTGCTGGTCGAGTCAGTGGACCAACATAGCTAACATAACCAGCTGATGCAACCAGCTAACATCACATAACCAGCAGTGTGTTTCTGGTGAAGTTGCTTGACCATAGATGATACGCCTGGTAGACAACCTGCACTTTTCAACAGAGTTGTAGTGCAACACAGACACACAAATACTTGTGAATAATGGTTTTCCTGGTGTTTATATTCCAGTTTTGTAAACTACACCACCACTAAGATACATGAGCCGTTGATAGTGCTGTGGTGTGATGTTGTGTGTCTGTGTGTTTTACCCCCCAGTTTTTGTGTTTGTTGTGTGTCTGTGTGTGTTACTCACAGTGGTGGAATGTAACGAAGTACAAATACTTTGTTACTTTACTTAAGTACATTTTTCACGTATAATAGTGCATACTTTTTACTTTTACTTCGTTACATTTTCCAGCAATTATTATATTTTCTACAACTTCTGTTACATTTTCATTACATTTTCTGATCAGTTTTTCCCCTGCCAAAACGTAATCTGACCGTCCGTCCGTTGCACGTTTGTCTCACCAGTGACGTTTGGTTGCCATAGATACATCAACTAAACGCGTCTCGCACGCAGTGTGTTTATCGTGCAATTTATACGCGAAAATTTGTTTTTACGTGCATAGGAAACACACCGTGTGTAATATACGTTTGGTTAGGTTATGGCAAGCCAAGAGGTTCAGAATTACACCATAAATTAATCGCGTTTACTGCCAAACATAGTTATTAATATATAGTAAGGATAAGCATGATGTGTATATTGCCTAATTGCAAGCTTGTTTCAGAAATGGTGACAACAATTTTTTTTTCCATAATTATTGAACGTCATTATAGGAGTATTAGGTTGAATGAGTTAGAATTAAATGTTTTATTAATCATTAGAAAGAAATAGACATTAAGATAATTATTATGCAAGTACTTTTAGTTTTAAGTACATTTAAAATCAGGTACTTTTTACTCAAGTATGATTGTCATTGTGTTACTTCTACTTTTACTAAAGTAAATATTTATCTGGTTATTTGTAGTTTTACTTAAGTACTGAGATTCAGTACTTCCACCACCACTGGTTACTCACCAGTTGTTGTGTTTGTTGTGTGTGTGTGTGTGTGTGTTACTCACCAGTTGTTGTCCGTGATTCCCCCATGATGCAAACTGTAGAACACAATCAGAGACCTCCGGAGGATTCAGTTCATGCACTTCACTGCACACACACCCACACACACACACACTTATGCACATTACGTGTCTGTATAGTCAAGTCAGCTCATTTTTAAAGCGTTGTACAAATACCGTGTTTGTAAGTTGTAGATCAAGTAAGACGCCAGGTAGGAGTATCGATACACCTGCAAAAACACAAGACAAAATGGAATAAGTCAAAAAATTAAAAAAAGCTGCACAAAATATTTATGTAGATGCTGAACAGACTGCTAAAAATTATAAAATTACTAAACATTCTTAAATCAAGATGCGTTACTTGAGAAGCAAAATGACTGAAGATGTTAAATCTTGTTTACTGAAAAATGAAGTGAGTTTTGATTAAAACAAGAACAAATATCATTAACACTTTATCTATAATGCATTAAATCTGTTGAAATTGAAATTGCTCGGTTATTTGTCACGTGCATTATACTTTCTAAAGTCGCAACAATGAATATGCATTATAATGTATTATAATTATTCACGAGATCATACATAAGGTGCATTAAAAATCCATAATAAATGCATTAATTACATTTATAATGCATCATTTAAAAAGGGTTCAACAAGTGCAAATTGGGTCAGAAACATAATCTTCTTTTCCCTTCTTGAATCAAGTTTATTTTTCTGACCCCATTGGCAAATATTTTTTCTTTTTTTAAGCAAAAACTTGATTCTGATCTTTTTTTTTTTCAGTCTTTTTGCTTCTCTAGTAAATGTGTCTTTATTTAAAGCTACACTGTGTAACTCTTTTAGTTTATTCTTAGCTAAAACACAAAAATACATGTGCTCATTAATGTATATTTACTTCGTTCAAGTAATAAAGTATTCTCGTGAGTGTATAATATGCCATTGAAAATACATACAGGTAAGGGGTCGCCATGTTGCCCCTCCATCTTGAAAGTACATTAGCCAAAGAGGGACATAAGCTTCGCTTTTCGCGTTTACGTTTGAGTTAACACTCATGGACGAGGTCGAACCGGAAGCCATGTTAATCTTGGACTACATTGGCCACCGTAGGAGTTAAAACGAAATCGGAATTAAGAGGAATATTAGAGAAACTAATATTCACTGGATGGTCATATACCTTTTCACCACTAGATGGGGGTAAAAATCACACAGTGTAGCTTTAAGAATGTTTAGATATTTGTAGCCTACTGGACAAGACAAAAACAAACCTCGTTTGCAGTGCATGACTATAATTCATGAAGCTGTTTTGCTTGATTTGACCTGTTATTTATTATAATAAAAGCTCCTGAGAATCATCGTGACCTCTGACCTTTCTGACATCGTACGCCAGTAACACGTAGTTGAGGTCTGGTGACACGGAAAGCTTGGAGGCCTTGAACACCGCCTGTGTGAAAAACTCTGGTTAGAAGTGATCATACACTATTCAGATCTAATGTTAGATGGGTTTCCTTCAACAATCGATATTATGATGAGGTAGTGTGAGTTTAACAAATAATTGTTAAAAAAAATGAGGAGTATGCATAAGACTGACATGACACCTTCATAATCTCGACATATGCATGTTTATGACAACTGGCATTAAGTGTCATTCGCTCAATTATGACATTATTAATGCAAATACATTGTCTCGAGATATAAACCAATACATCATAACCATGACATAGCAGTTTAATGATCAAACTTAAGAAACCTCTTAGTTTTATTGATTAACATTACATTAACCCCTTAACTGTCACTTGCCTATATACGGGCAACCTAACTTTACTATATTACTGTTCAATCCTAATCTAGTCGTGACAAACTTTTTTCTTACAAATTATGAATGATCAGTAATATATGACAAGAGTGCGCCTCAAAAATTTGACGTCATTACAGGAGTTTCTGACCTTTGTCACAAAAAGTCGACGCACACACTTTTAATAATTGAAACTTTGGTTTTTAGTGCTAAAAGTTCATTATAAAACATAATTCGTATTTGTCAATAAAAAAAGATAAAATTATATTTTAAAAAGTAAGGTAAGAAGTCCTCTAAAAATTATAAGATATATATATATTTTATTATTATTATATCACATATTTTAGTAGTTCTCATAAATTAGGTATCGTTTGAAAGCTTACGAACTCAGAATTCATCCTGTGAAAACCGTTTTGAAATTGGATGTTGCGTTACCATAGAAACGGTATTTTTTTATTAGGCCCCGCCCCTTTTGGGCATCATCTTTCATAATTTATTATGAAAACCTTTTCTAATCTTGACAAAACACATATTGTCCGAAAGGTCTGAGTCTCAAGGTTCCATATTTAGTGACAGAAGTGATATTTGAATAGAAATTTATTAATTTGTTATGGCAAAATGCATACAATTAAATTCAATGAAATTCAATGGCACCCGGTGGCTATTTTTGGTACTACGCCTAAACAAAATCTCATGGGAACTTCAGTTTTTGTGATATCAACTTCAAATTTGTATATATAGCTTTCATTTTATAGTAAAACATATTTTGTAAAATTAAAAACATATATTAATAAAGTATATTTGATTTACTGTAACTTATAACTTCCATAACGTTTTCATAGTTTAATTTTTTGAAGTGCTTTCAATTTAGTAATAATCTGCTGATTGTTTTCTTTAAAACAAGTCTATATCCCAAAGCATTCTTGAATTACAACCATTTAAGTTTGTACAGTGCATTTTAATGTCAATTATCAAAAAGGGGGGTGACAGGTAAAGGGTCAAACTGTCATGTGTTTGGCTTTGACATTGGCTGTCGTGAAGCCATTCCTCAAAGCTCAATGATAACTTTCGTTAACTTTACAATAAGTCAATCCACTTCACCAGATATTTATTTTTAGATCAAATTCTAAAGATGGCTGCACACGTGTCTACTTGAGTTTGTGGGTTTTGAAAGACGTTTTCAAAGCTGATTACATTGTTCTCATGTGAAGTATTTGTTTCCACTACTCACAAATGTGCTGTTTGTCATCATGACCTCGGTCTGATTGCTCTCCATGTTCAGCATCTTCAGATCTCCGTCTTGGTCCCTGTAGACGAGCCGATAATCTGAAGGAGAAACATATTTACACAGTCCAACACTATTCATATTCAACAGTTGATTCTATTAAAGCTACACTGTGTAACTCTTTTAGTTTATTAGCTAAAACACAAAAATATATGTGCTCATTAATGTATATTTAGTTCGTTCAAGTAATAAAGTATTCTCGTGAGTGTATAATATGCCATTGAAAATACATACGGGTAAGGGGTCGCCATGTTGCTCCTCCATCTTGAAAGTACATTAGCCAAAGAGGGACATAAGCTTCGCCTTTCACGTTTACGTTTGAGTTAACACTCATGGTCGAGGTCGAACCGGAAGCCATGTTAATCTTGGACTACATTGGCCACCGTAGGAGTTAAAACGAAATCGGAATTGAGAGGAACAGAAACTAATTTTCACTAAATGGTCATATACCTTTTCACCACTAGATGGGGTTAAAAATCACACAGTGTAGCTTTAAAGAGCTCCTGTTGTGCTATTGTTCATGTTTAAGACGTGGTGTGTCTTAAAGCGTATTAAAAACACCAAATACACATGATAAAAACTGCATATTCACCACAGGGGGACTTAAAATAACTCATACTCAGAATAAAGGGGCGGGGCCTGGTTGAGTTAGTTAGTAGTGTTTTAAACTGGCAGTTATGGGAAGGGGCGGGGCATTTCCCAAACGCACTCGAAGCGCTCGACTAATCACAACACACTGATCCAGCCGACCAATCAGAGCACAGTGTGCTATTCAGAAGGAGGGGCTTCATAGAGACAGGAAGTAAACGGAGCGTTACTGACAGACTGGGAAGAGAGGAGCCGCAACAGTGGAGAATATGAGGGAAATAATCAACATTTAAGCAGGAAAACCTGTTAGCACAGCCTGAACACTAAATCAAGGGCATAATAGGTCACATTTAAAGAGCCTACATGTGTGTTTACAGCCGTGTGTGTCTATTTGACAGGTCTTGTTTCGTCCGACACAAGAGAGACAGAGATTGAGAATGTGATCTTCCTCACCAGAAACCCACTGAGCTTCGAGATCCTGATCCTGCAGCTCACTGGAGAAAAGGTCATCCAGGGTCAGACAGGATCCCAGAGTGTGGTGAGCATCACCTAACACACACACACACACTCTAACATGAGCATGTTCAAGATAGTGGAATGTGTTCGTCGTGTGTGTGTGTGTGTGTGTGTGTGTGTGTGTAGGTTTAGGGGTAGGGTTTGTGTAAGTGGAAAGAATATACAATATTTACAGTATAAAAATCATTACATCTATGCAATTTTCCCATCTAGATAAGTAAAAGCACCATCATGGTAACACACATGAAATAAAAAAATGCAAGAAGCATTAATTTAACAACATTAAATGTAACATATAACCCTAATGTACATAACTGATTAGAAAAAAACAATAAAACTATGATGAACTATAGTTATTTCAACAAAAACACATCAAATGTGAAGCGTCACACAGGGATTTTTGGGAATGTCAATTTACGGTTTTTCACTGTAAATTATACAATGATTTGTTCTTTTTCACTTTCAAAAAATGTGCGTGTGTGTGTGTGTACAAATATATTAACATTCTTAAATTAAGATTTACTTGAGTGGAGTAAGAAAAATGATCTTGTTTCCCCTTCGAATTGCATTTATTTTTTTGAGCCGCTAGGCAGAGATTTCTTTCTTGTTTTAGGCATAAACTCACTTAATTTTGATTCATTTTTCAGAAAAGAAACTTAATGATTTAGGAATGATTTAAGAATGTTTAGATATTAGTCCTGGAAAACGAGTCAGAAACACTGAGGAAGAACATCTTTCTTTTTTTTTACAGTGCAATTTGTCAGACATTTGTCCGGCTGTGTGTAGGACTAATTTCTTCATTTTTTCATTATTTTAAACATCGTTTCGCTTGGTCAGTGTCGGATATTTGGTTGTAAGAACCGATAAATACCTGAAATAATTTGACGAAGTGATACATGAAAGTGTAATGCGGTCAAACCTGCCTGGAACTACTTTAGCTGCGCGTTTACAGACCGTTCATAAACCAATCAGAATCAAGCATTCTCAACCATGTGATATAACACTGATTACTTTTTTTTAATTTTCAAGCTTAAATGTGAAATTAGGCATGAAAATGGGGATGAATGTTTATTGGCAGTGAAACACACAGACCTGTAGACAGCAGGAAGATGGCCAGACCGATCAACGACAGCACAAACGCAATGACCAGAAGTGAGATTCCCACACCCTTCCAGTTCATTTCAGACGACATACTTCCCACATCCTGCAGAGAGAGACATAATTCAACATTATTATTAGATTAAAGTTTAAATAATACATTCATCTTTCATCAGAACGTATAGGGCTGACCATGAGCCATTGACCCTGTTTACTTGCACAAGGATATTCCAATACTAATCAAAATATTAGTAAGCTTTATATAAACACATTAATAACCGTAACCAGACTAAGCCTCACTGTAAAAAATAAACCGTAAATTTTAAGGTAAAAAACTTTATACCGTTAAAAATACGGTAGGAACGTTAATGGTTTTACAGACTTAACTTAAAATTTACAGTAATAAACCGTATTTTATTTTCTGATAAAATGTTGATTTACCAACTTATTGACGTATTGATATCTGTTTTAGACCATTGTAATACACTGACAACCAACAATCATCACGGCAGTGATGAGTTACATGAGCAATCACAGCTCATCACAAGCACTCTTAGAAGAAATGGTTCTATTTAGAACCAGAAATGGTTCCATCCCCCGCTTCATATATGGAACTCCAAAATGGTTCTATATAGAGCCATTTTTTTTTTGGTATAAGGTTCTATTGGCCCCAGAGTTCTATATAGAACCCAGAGGAACCCTTTTTTTAAGAGTGTATAGAACCTTTTAGGGGTTCCAAATACGTAGCGCTGATAGAACCTTTTAAGGTTCTATATAGAACCTTTTCTTCTAAGAGTGAGTTAATACTTATATAACGCAATACTTAATTAAAGAAGCTGCACAGTGTCATTCACACAAACATTAAGCGCCATCATGGTAACACACATGAAATAAAAAAAAAATGCAATAAACATTAATTTAACAACATTAAATGTAACATAAACCCCTAATGTACATAACTGATTAGAAAAAAAAACAATAAAACTATGAGGAACCATAGTTATTTCAACAAAAATACATCAAATGTGAAGTGTCACACAGGGAATTTTGGGAATGTCAATTTACGGTTTTTCACTAAATTATACAATGATTTGTTCTTTTTCACTTTCAAAAACTGTAAATTTAACGGTATTTTACTGTAAAATTATATCACAGTTATTTACCGTGTATAGTACGGAAACTTTCTGTTTACCAATTAAAAGTTTTGCACTGTAGCATTTTTACAGTATTTTACCGTTAAAATCACGGTTATTTTTTACTGTTTTCCAGTAACAAGAAGTCTGAATAAGACTAGCTATGTTGATCAGAATTATTTGTGGAGTTTACAGCTTATTCAAGATCCACCGTGATCCGTTTCTGCGGGTCTTTAAAAAAAAGTCTCAATTCTCGCTTTAAATCAGAGCAGATATCCTTAAAATAACGTTAAAATCCTCTGTATTTTTGTTTTGTAGTTTTCCCAGACAAATATCTGAACATTCTAAGAACAAAATGCATTTACTTGAGATGCAAAACGTGTAGTCTTGTTTTTGGACTCTGTTTTGGGCGCTTCGATGAGGTATAACACAGTTTTCCTTTGAATTAAGTAAAAAAAAATATATGACTAAGCCCATTTGCAGATATTTGTTGTTTTATTTTAATCTCTGTTTTCTATTTTAATCATTTTTTCATCTGCATGTCATTTTGTTCAATTCAGTTTATTCCTTAATTTCTTCATTTGAAAGTAAAACTAAAACCTGCAGAAACCCCGTTAATTAGAAATGAATCATCAAAATGATTATTTACTAAAACTGTGAGAGTGTTTCACTTGAAAGCACTTTCACTCTCCCAGAAAAATGTGTGTGTGACTGTGATTGTGTGTGTTTTCGACTGAATCTGATTGACTTTGTTCTATTTTTATTGCACACTGAACACTATTTGTTTATTGAAATGACAACCCTGTACAGTTTTGTCTCTGTCTTGGATTCTGTCAGAATGAGTCAAACTTTGAATTAAAGTGTCTCATAAACTTACACAAATGTTAGTCTGATAAACAAACACAAATGTAACGTTATCTGGAAGCAGACCTACTCATATAAACCAAAGTCAAAATCAGTTGTAGGATTTAGGGCACTAGGACCATGTTAAGAGTATGAGTACTGATGATTATGTCATCATTTGTTGTGTTATATAACTTGTCTGTGTTTATTAGTGTATATAGGGTTAGGGTTATATATATAACCCTAAACCTAGTAAAATATTTATAAATTAACGAGATTAAACACATTTTTTTTTGTGATTGATCGTGATTAAAAACATTAAATTGCGTTAAATATTTTAAATATTGCATGCGATATGCATCTGTGAAATTAAAGTCCCCCTGTAGCCTGTAGTCAATCATTTTATCACTTAAAACTCATATTTGATCACCAAAATGACATATTTCAAAAAAAACTTCATGCCTTAAAATATCTCTCATTTAGTATGCGCGGTTCTATGAATATGCAAATGAGCTCCGCCTCCACTCACTCCCTCACTCAGAAATCCACTGGTTGACATCACACGTTGATCTGATTGGTTACAAGGTTGTTTGTGAGACTGTCTTTGGTTCACTGCAGTTTTAAGGAGGAAATACTCAGCAATGCTGTCCACTTATCAACTTACACACGATTAAAAACACCACATACACACATAAACAACATTAAAAACTGGATATTCACCTCACACTCTAAAAACATTCTGGGTTGTTTTAAGTCAATTTTGGGTCAAATATGGACAAACTCAAACGTTTAAAAATGTAATTAAAAATATGTAACCCAATGGCTGGGTTTGTCCATATTTGACCCAAAGTTGGGTCAAATCAACCCAGAAATTTTTAGAGTGTGATTTCTGAAGGATCATGTGACACCAAAGACTGGAGTAATGATGCTTTGATCACAATATATTAACAGTTATTGTAAAAATTAATTTAAAATTAAAGCTGCAAGCAGCATTTATCGGTGTTCAAGCAGTTCAGGCCTTTAAGCACAAAAGCATCGAAAGGCATTCAATTTTATTTAACATGCATTTATCCACGGACATAATAGATGTAAAACACCATTTACAATCAATACAGGCAATTTAACATTGGAAATGCATGGTTTTAAAGCTTTTTAACAGTTATAGTGCTACCTATGGTCCGATCTCCATGAAACTGTGCATGCTTCTTCGGCATGTTATGAGACATATGATATGCTCATCAATTTTTGTGAAAATTTTGAGTTTTCCTTTAGGATTTATATGATTTTGGGTGCATTTTGTCCCATCCCTTTTGTAAACGACCCTGTTATAGCCAATCAAAAGCAAAAGTTCTACTTTTTTTTTTCGATAATTAATTATCTAGAGAGTCCAGAGTGTTAGGCCACATGCTCATCGATTTTTGTGAAGTTGTGACTTTTTGGGGGGGATTTACAGGCTTTTGCCGGAATTTTGCCACAGACCAATATCTAAATTACCCTGTTACAGCCAACCAAATGCAAAATTTCAATTTTATTAATTTTAAATCAATTTTATATTCAATTATTTTCGATAATTATTGATCTAGAGAGTCCAGAGAATAGGCCTAGACTGGTTTGGTCCCGATTGGGCAAAAAACCAGGGACTAGTTCGCAAAAGTGGGTTTTGGACAAAAACCGAAATAACAATTTTTTTTTGCTCCAAATGGAAATCCGAGATATAAATCTTGTCCGTCTTGAGCCAGGGATTACAGTGGTGTAAAAACATTGAAGCTAAGTTAAACGGTCTAGGAGTTATGAGCAATTTAGTACTTTTGGTTGCTGTAGCGCCACCTATGGGCCAATCGGGCTCATACTCTGATAGCTTCTCCACAATTTGAGGCCCTACACTGTAAAAAAATATTGATGGTTTAACTTAAAAAAGTAAGTAACCTGGTTGCCTTACAATTTTAAGTTGATTGAACTGGAAAAAGTGAGTTAATACAATGAAAGAGATTAATTTAACCATCAGAAACTCAAAATTATATGTTATCTGAACTAAATAAATTATTTAAGTTGATTTGACAAAAGAAAAATGTTGTGATTACTAAACTGTAAAAAATATTGTTGGTTTAACTAAAAGTAAGTAACCTGGGTTGCCTTAATTTTAAGTTGATTGAACTGGAAAAAGTGAGTTAATACACTGAAGTAGATTAATGTAACCATCAGAAACTCAAAATAATAAGTTATCTCAACTAAATAAATTATTATAAAGTTGATTTGACAAAAGAAAATATGTTGTGATAACAAATCTTGAAAATATTTTTTACAGTGTACCATCTGACAAAGTTTCAGAGCTCCAGCCCTTAAGGTTTGGGCTGCACGATGCGTTTTAGGGGATTTTTTTCAATAGGTTTTCAACACTTCGCTTGAACACCTAATAAAATGCAGCATTGGTAAGCAGAAGAGACTTCTTTCAAGGCATTATAAATCAGAACTTGTGAGCGGTATGATCACTATCTCTGCATGTTAGCTTGTCACCATGTTTAGTTTTAAGATCCACATATAAAATAGCAGATTAAAGGTTTATCTGGCGAAGGTCAGGCTGGCCTCGAGGGACACGTCAGAGGACGGTCATTCAATTATTCATGAGACTCACTCAAACTTACTGAGTGCATCTAAATGTAGAGCATGAAGGAACCTGCAGGTGTGTGTGTGTGTGTGTGTGTGTGTTGATGTCCTACAGATATCTGAAGTGTTTCAACACGCTCTGAGAAGAGCAGATCATGTTTTTAAAAGCCGTCCGTCTGTATTATGTTAGTAATAGAGTTGCTTGAGATTAAAGTAAAACTCGCTAACTTTAATCTCCTGCTCACATTAAGCCTTAATGCCAGAAGAGACTGAAACAAAAGACAAAATGAAAGAAGAAAAACAATGAGCGCTTAAATCTGTGTGTGCTGAGATTGTGTTGAAGGAGGACAGAAAGGGGATATTGGTTTACAAGTTCAAGTAAACCACCAAAATATGAACATTTAAATATATATATATATATATATATATAATGAAATATGAGGGTAATGCTACAATCTGACATTATCTATTAATATTCCATTTTGCATGTGTTCATAATTTCGTTGCATGACAGTCTGGATTAAAATGATGTTGCATAATGTGTTGTTATTATCACGAATAAAACAATCGACTCCAAGCACAACTATATGCTGAACTTAACACTGAACTTTAATTCTATGGTCAAAATTAAGTTTAATTAAAGTCCTCCTGTTCTGAAAGAAAGTCTTTTCTGCTTACCATGTGCTGCATTTTATTTTAAATGAATTTAAAAAATATATATATATTTTTTACAATTTACAATAACTGTTAATATATTGTGATCACAGCATCATTACTCCAGTCTTCGGTGTCACATGATCCTTCAGAAATCACTTTACACTTGTCTAAAAATGCTGGGTTGTTTTAACCCAACTTTGGGTCAAATATGGACAAATGTTGGGTTAAAAAATGTAATTAACAAATCTAACCCAATTTGTCCATATTTGACCCAAAGTTGGGTTAAAAGAGTGTAATATGAGGATGTGCTAAATTATTGATGGCGCTTTTTATTAATAATTGTTCTATATATATATATATATATATACCTTTTTTCAGAATTGTTTTATTAAAAGTTCAAAAGAACAGCATTTATTTGTCATGGAGATCTTTTTTTTACATTATAAATGTCTTACATTTTTATTAATTTATGTAATGTGTCCTATAGCTAAATAAAATTATTAATTTAATTGATTAAATGTAAGTATTCAGCTCTTATTAATTACAGAATAAATGCAAGGTTAACTCCCCGGTTTACAAAATTTACATTAACATTAACATTTACATTCTGGTACACTAAAAAAATGACATGTTGGCTTTAATGATTTTTTTTAAACATAATTTGTTCATGTAACTTCAACATCATGGAATTTAAGTCGTCTCAACGTGAATTTTTAAAAGCGTCCTGATATGATTCTGGTATTTTTAATATTCATTCATCCATTAATATTTCAATTATTTTAGTGACATATAATTGACAGACCATAGCTAGCTATTAGCAAGCATTCGCACATATATTAGCATCTTAAATGTTAATAATAAAACAAAATGCTCCACTCTTCTCCACAATGGTAACCCACTTTAAATGGTTCGAATAATTCCAATGTAATTTAACATTAATCACAATTACACACTATCAAATCTTCCCCTTTTCTTAATTTCTCAACAAAAAAAACATAAAACAACGAACGTTTATTCTCTTTTAATTGAACCATAAGCAAAGCATGCTGGGAACTAACAAGCACCGCCCAGTTTCAGTTAATGCAACACAAATCAATCATGTAATCAATCAAAAAATTGTACGTATATTTAAGCAGATTGAACACAATCGGGCAAAATGGCAGTCGTCTCGCTCTACACTGCCACCCACTGGATGTAAGAATGTTTTACTTAACATAAATGGTTTGAGTTTAGACGACGCGCTACGATTTTGTACTGTTAAGTTGAGACATGAATACATTTTATAAGCTAAATATAAATATACACTCTTAGAAGAAATGGTTCTATTTAGAACCAGAAATGGTTCCATCCCCCGCTTCATATATGGAACTCCAAAATGGTTCTATATAGAACCATTTTTTTGGTAAAAGGTTCTATGAAACCCCAGGGTTCTATATAGAACCTTTTTTTAAGAGTGTATAGAACCTTTTAGGGGTTCCAATTACGTAGCGCTGATAGAACCTTTTAAGGTTCTATATAGAATGTATTTTGCAAAGTGCACAACCTTCCTAGTTCATATTTTATATAATTCGGGACAGTTGCTGTGAAACCCCTTTCAAAAAAACATTCAAATGAACTATTAATCAGAAGTTCTACGAGTTCTTGATGGTCTCTTTAGCACACAGTGATGATGATGATGAAGTCTTCCTCACCTTCACGTCGATGGATGAGCGCCTGTGGCAGTGGTTGGACACTCCAGCCGTCTGATTCATGTCTTCCTCTTATTCTTCTGTTTTCCAGCGGTGAATCTCAGTGAAGCGGATCCTGATGAAGAAGACGCTGCGAGTGTGTGTGTTATCCCAGCGCTGCGAGTGTGTGTGTTATCCCAGCGCTGCGCGTCACTGATGCTCCAGATGCAGAAACATCTGTCTGTCGGAGCGCAAACCACCAGAAACATCACTCGGCTGGATTATGGCAATGCGCTGGATGATTTACCAAAGTAGGACACGCGCCAACTAACAATCACCAACTGTAAAAAAAATGATTTTTTATGCTTTTTATATTCAAATTAGTTAAAGCAACACATTTTGCTTCTACTTAATTTAATTGTGTCCAGTCTACACTCTTATAAAAGAGGGTTCATTGGGGTTGTACAGTATATTATGTGAAGCGTAGGGTTCTTTACTCAACTCCAACGAACCTTTTATGCTAAATTCATTCATATATTACATTATTCTGCAACATTTTGTAGTTGTAATTCAATTATTGTTTATTAAACTGTTTAATCATGCTGATTTTTTGGAGGAGAAACTGAAACGGCACTCTTTAACTGCATAAAATGATGTAAATATAGACATTTTCTAACCCCCATATCTGGAATTTACATGCATTCAAGAATACATTTTAGGGTCTTGATTTTTGTCAATAATATGAAATATTGAATCTGGAAAGGACAAAACAATGGTGCTTGCAGCTTTGATGAACGTAATAAGCATTGAAGTATCGTCATATCACAGTTCAGGGGGGTTTCCACGTCTAGAACAGCTTAACCCGCAGTAAATGAGCCGTGTCACTGTAACGCAGGCCTCCCGTGTGTTTCTCGTGGACGAGATAACCTTTCTGAAAACAGGAAGTTCTTGCTCAGCTTGTGGCGTGGAGTTTTCATCTTGCTTCATTTCCACGTAATGTTCAGTCACCTAAACTTCTCTTACAATGAATGCAAAAAATAAAACAGTAATGGCCAGAAGTGATGTGTGTTTATCAGGGAAGAATAATCACTGAACGCTAAACTGCAGATACAGGTTTTATTATGCAAAAATAAAAACAAACGCATATAAAAAGCATGTTATAAATAATGCATGTGCTCATCATTTCTTTGTATAAACATAAGCACACTTTGTCATCTTTCATTGCGCGTGACTCTAAGCACGACTACATCATGCTTTTAACATATTTATAAAAAAAAAAATATGGTAACAATTCTGTTTAGGGTCCAATTCGCACTATTAATAGTTGATTATTAGCATGCATATTACTAGGATATTGTCTGTTTATTAGTACTTATAGATCCCTTATTCTCCATGATTATATTCTACACCCCTTAATACCTAAACTTAACTACCTTAATTACTATTAATAAGCAGTAATTAGGAGTTAATTTATTCATAAGTTGTAGTTAATAGAATTAGAAAATTAAATAATTTGTGAAGATGTTATTTTTCCTGACCGGACTAAATGGGACAAATATGGACAAACCTAGCCGTAAAAAAATTGTAATTACGTTTACCTTTGAGTTTGTCCATATTTGACCCAAACATGGGTTAAAAAAACCCAGCATTTTAAAATGGTTTGTTGTAAAAATGCTTTTTTTCAACTCATGTTTGGGTCAAATACGACCAAATCTAACCGTTGGGTTACAAAATGTGGCGATATTTGACCCAAACATGGGTTGAAACAATCCAGTAAAAATGCTTTTTTCAACTCGTGTTTGGGTCAAATATGACCTGATATTTGACCCAAACATGGGTTGAAACAACCCACCATTTTAAAATGGTTTGTTGTAAAAATGCTTTTTTAACTCATGTTTGGGTCAAATACAACCGAATCTAACCGTTGGGTTACAAAATGTGGCGATATTTGACCCAAACAGGGGTTGAAACAATCCAGCATTTTAAAATGTTTTTTGTTTTTTTTTGTAAAAATGCTTTTTTCAACTCGTGTTTGGGTCAAATATGACCAAATCTGATATTTGACCCAAACACAGGTTGAAACAACCCAGCATTTTAAAATAGTTTGTTGTAAAAATGCTTTTTTTCAACTCATGTTTGGGTCAAATACGACCAAATCTAACCATTGGGTTACAAAATGTGTCGATATTTCACCCAAACATGGGTTGAAACAACCCAGCATTTTAAAATGGTTTGTTGTAAAAATGCTTTTTTCAACCCGTGTTTGGGTCAAATATGACCAAATCTGATATTTGACCCAAACATGGGTTGAAACAATCCAGCATTTTAAAATGGTTTGTTGTAAAAATTCTTTTTTAACTTATGTTTGGGTCAAATACGACCAAATCTAACTGTTGGGTTACAAAATGTGGCGATATTTGACCCAAACATGGGTTGAAACAACCCAGCATTTGTGTGAATTAGACCTGCTTTATCATCTGAAAACATGTTGTACTGAAAGCATCAATAAGCAAAGTAACTGCACATCTCTCACCAACAAAACATGATTTAACACATTCCTCAGATGTTTCACACAAGTTATGATCAATATCAATAGAGATGTTTGCCTCAACAAGCAATAACCACCGGAATCTATATATTTATTTGAGGGATTTTGTGAAGCCTTCATTGAAGCATTGAATGCAATGACGCTTAATGTTTATGTTCTAAAAATGTTTACAATTAATTTCTTCTTATAATATCCTGTTTTCAAAAGTTTAAACGATTAATTTCTTCTTATAATATCCTGTTTTCAAAAGTTTAAACGATTAATTTCTTCTTATAATATCCTGTTTTCAAAAGTTTAAACGATTAATTTCTTCTTATAATATCCTGTTTTCAAAAGTTTAACCTCAAGAAATAGAGATTAAGTGAAGATTACTTGATAAAAGAGTTGAGTAAACGACATCCTCTTTCCTCAAGTTCACACTAGATGAAAATAATAACTGAAATAACGTCAGCCATCAGCTTATTGCATTATTACAGGCTGGAACCGATTGCATAAAGGTACAGTGACGCTGCTCTCAGTGCATATCAGTCATATAGTGTTGCATTAATATGAAGTGAAACTTGATATGCTTTACAGCGATGACGATGATGATGATGATGATGAGGATTATTTTGCTCCTGTCGGAATCTGTCCTGGTCTCTTATCAGTCCAACTCCACAGGTAACTTAGAAAATAAACTTAAAACTTAAATTTAAAAAAAAGATATTTGGGTTGTTTTATAGTTTTTTTGTGGGAATAAAACTTCATTTATGTGTGCATTTATTTATTTGTTTGCACTTAAAAAATAATTTGGGCTGTTGACATGGTTAGATTTTAATTAATTAATTTAAAAATATAGATGGGATTGACAAAAATTGACAAAAAAAACATTTTAAGGTATTTATTTATTTGCACATTTCTTGACAATTGGACATGCAGATTTAAGATTTATTGATTGCTTTTTCTTTATTTATGAATTTGCACATTTCTTTAAAAATAAATATTTAGGTTGTTGTCAAATTGACAGATTTAAAGTAATTTATTTATTTTTGTTATTTTTAGTTATTTGCACATTTCTTTGAAAATAATAGGTTATATATATATATATTTTTTTTTCATTTAAATAGAAATGCTAAAATGCTTTTGATTTTGTGGGAATAAAACTGGTTGACATTCATGTATGTGTGCATTTATTTGGGTTGTTGACATGGCTAGATTTTAATTAATTTGTTTAAAAATATATTTGGGATTTTTGACAAATGGTCACATTTTAAGTTATTTATTTATTTGCACATTTCTTTAAAAATAGATATGATTTGGGTTGATTTAAGTTATTGTTCATGTATTTGTTTATTTGCTAATTTCTTTAAAAATAGATATTTGGGTTGTTGACAAATGGACGGATTTTAATTTATTGATTGATTGATTTTTATTTATTTGCTCATTTCTTTAAAAATAGATATTTGGGTTGTTGACAAATGGACAGATTTTTAAGTTGTTCATTTATTTGTTTATTTTTATTTATTTATTTATTTACTCATTTCTTTAAAAATAGATATTTGGGTTGTTGACAGATTTTTAAGTTGTTTATTGATTTATTTTTATTTATTTTTTGCACATTTGTTTAAAAAGTTATTGGGGTCGTTGACAAGTGGGCAGATTTTGTAATAAATGTAGAAGCTGAGATGCTTTTTGGTTAATTGGCAGATTTAGTCCAACATAAACTGATTGATCTATATTTGTTTGTATTTTTGAAGGGGATATTTGACTAAATACTGTATATGCATTCAGGCAATTAACCCTAACCCCAACTGGGTTAAACCAATTAACTCTTTAACCAATAAACTTGTGTTTTATTAGTTCAGTGTGAACTAGGCAATAGGAAATCAGTGAGAGTGAGAGCTGGAGAATCCCTGTATTTCCCCTGCCCGAGTGTAGAGTGCTATGAGTCCACTGAAGGCTACGCGTACGACTGGTGGAGGAACCTCAGCAGAACCAATCAGACTGAGCGGATCGGGACGGCGGAGAGTGAGCGTGTGCATTACCACCAGTCCGTGTTATACATACTCTGGCTGACCCTGGACGACACGGGACTCTACATCACACGCTGGTGATCACACACACACACACTTCACTTACATGTCAATGCACCTGCTCTAAAGCAATATTCAAACTTTATTTACATGTATGTTGTTTCAAACCTGCACTGTAATAAAATATTGTTGGTTTAACTTAAAAAAAAAAGAAGTAATCTGGCTGCCTTAAAAAATTAAGTTCATTGAAATGGAAAAATTGAGTTAATACAATGAAGGTGATTAATTTAATCATTAGAAACTTAAAATATTATGTTATCTGAACTACATCAATTATTTAAGTGGATTTGACAAAAGAAATAATGTTGAGGTTACAAATCATGAATATATATATATATATTTTTTTAAATGTAGCATGTACAGTTTTCCATACTGTGAAAATATATCATAGCAGTATATGCATATGACTCGAGCACCACACACCACAAGTCATGTGACAGCCGAAAGTATATTAATGAAAGTCATGCATTTGGAACAGCATGACTGTGAATATATCATGACAAGATTTAAATGTTTCAGTGAACTATGTGTTAATATCATACTGCTTTTCAAACTAATTTTTTTTAAATGTTTTTGAAAGAGAATTATTTGATCAAAAATATAGTAAAAATAGTGAAATATTATTACAGGTTGATGTAAAAATGTAATTTATTCCTGTGATCTTCATTACTCCAGTCTTCAGTGTCACATGATCCTTCATAAATCACTCTAATATGATGATCTGATGCTCATAAATAACATTTCTGATTATTATCAATGTCGAAAACAGTCTTTGCAGAAACCACGACACATTCTGTATTCCGGTATTGAATGTTCAAAAGAATAGCATTTTTTTTTGGCCTTTTGTAACATTATAAATGTCAATTTACCAATTTAATGTGTCCATACTGAATAAAAGTATAATATTTCATAACTAGTGCACTCTCAGAAAAAAAGGTAAAAGCTGTCACTGGGGCTGTACCTTTTCAAAAGGTACACTTTTGTCCATTTTAGGTGATAATATGTACATTTCAGGTGCTAATATGGACATTTTATGTGCTAATATGTACATTTTAGGTGCTAATATGAACATTTCAGGTGTTAATATGTTAATTTTAGGTGCTAATAAGTACATTTCATGTGCTAATATGTACATTTTAGGTGCTAATATGTACATTTTTAGTGTTAATATTTACATTTTAGGTGCTAATGTGTGCATTTTAGGTGTTAATAAGTATATTTTAGGTGCTAATATGTACATTTCAGGAGCTAATATGTCCATTTTAGGTGCTAATATGTATATTTTAGGTGCTAATATGTGCATTTTAGGTGCTAATATGTCCATTTTAGGTGCTAATATGTATATTTTAGGTGCTAATATGTACATTTCAGGAGCTAATATGTCCATTTTAGGTGTTAATATGTACATTTTAGGTGTTAATATGTACATTTTAGGTGCTAATGTGTGCATTTTAGGTGTTAATATGTACATTTCAGGTGCTAATATGTGCATTTTAGGTGCTAATAGGTACATTTTAGGTGCTAATATGTACATTTCATGTGCTAATATGTACATTTTAGGTGCTAATATGTGCATTTTAGGTGTTAAGATGTACATTTTAGGTGCTAATAGGTACATTTTAGGTGCTAATATGTACATTTCAGGTACTAATATGTACATTTCAGGAGCTAATATGTCCATTTTAGGTGCTAATATGTACATTTAGGTGCTAATATGTCCATTTTAGGTGCTAATATGTACATTTTTAGTGTTAATATGTACATTTTAGGTGCTAATATGTCCATTTTAGGTGCTAATATGTATATTTTAGGTGCTAATATGTACATTTCAGGAGCTAATATGTCCATTTTAGGTGCTAATATGTACATTTTAGGTGTTAATATGTACATTTTAGGTGCTAATATGTGCATTTTAGGTGTTAATATGTACATTTTAGGTGCTAATATGTGCATTTTAGGTGCTAATAGGTACATTTTAGGTGCTAATATGTACATTTCATGTGCTAACAATGTACATTTTAGGTGCTAATATGTGCATTTTAGGTGTTAAGATGTACATTTTAGGTGCTATAGGTACATGTTAGGTGCTAATATGTACATTTCAGGTGCTAATATGTACATTTCAGGAGCTAATATGTCCATTTTAGGTGCTAATATGTCCATTTAGATGCTAATGTCCATTTTAGTGTTAATATGTACATTTCAGGAGCTAATATGTCTATTTTAGGTCCTAATATGTATATTTTAGGTGCTAATGTGTACATTTTAGGTGTTATGTTAATATGTACATTTTAGGTGCCACTAAGAAGGTACCAATATGCAGCCTTTGGGTACAAAAGTGTACCTTTTGAAAAGGTACAGCCCCAGTGACAGCTTTTGTAGCCTATACCTTTTTTTCTGAGAGTGTGTAAGTGCTTAAAATACAAGCTTCAAGTTTCTGCATTGGGACACTGAACATGAAGAGATGAAATATGTTTCTGTAGTAATCGTGTGTGTGTGTGTGTGTGTGTGTTGTCCTGTAGGTGGTATGAAAAAGACAAATGTGATGAATACGAAACTGATATCGTGGTTTATGAGGCGTTCCACACAGATCTCTTGTACTCCCCCATGGTGGAAGAAAAGGCGATAGCAATCTATTGTCCAGTGTGTGAAAATCAGCAGGCCGCGTTCCTCTGGTATAAGGTGTGTTGAGTTTGATGTTTGTGGCAAATTCAACAGCATGTTTGCAATGTATGAGTCAGCTAAAGTGAGGTGGGGATGTTGATCTGATCAGGGTTTATGATGAATATCCTGTTTTTCACTTAAAAAGGTTTCATATTTTGGAAATTTAACCAAACGGTGAATTCAGCTGTTCACTCCCATTGCTAGTAATTTACACTGAACGAAATTAGACGATAATAGAAAACTCGGTAACACTTTAATTGAAGGGGTGTGCATAAGACCGACATGACACCTTCATAATCATGACATATACATGTTTATGACAACTGTCATCAAGTGTCATTCACTCAATTATGACATTTTTAATGCAAATATGTCTTTGTTACTTGACATACATCATAACCTGTCAGTGTCTTGTGACAACTTGACATTGAATTTAAAATATCTTTATTTCAATGGACAAAAATATATAAAGAGTTTTCTTCTTCTTTGTGGACCTCGGAGAACAAGTTATTTTTAAGATTTGTACATGAAAAAGTGATAATTTACACATAAATTGTTGTTTTTCAAAGCTCAGTTTAAAGGGGCGTGTCTCCTTTAAGACGACATCATAAACACCCACTGTTCTGATTGGGTGACATCTTTGCATATGAAATGAGAATTGTACTAGTGCGACTTTTGAAATTATAATGACAGTTGATTTGACCGTGGAAAGTGGATTATAACACTCGTTTACATCTATTCACGAATGCGATAGCCTATTATTGTCCCAATCTTTTCTCTTTGGCAGAACTTCTCTCTTATTCCAAACCAAGAGTCTAAACGTTTACCTATCCGCAACTCTTCGAAAGAAAGCGAGGGTATTTACACCTGCGTTTGCACCTGGGAGCACAATGGGTTAAAACACAACACCTCTGGACATCGCAGACTGATCATTAAAGGTATATAGTCCTATATAGTCCTGTACTTTGAGCTAGAAGTTATTTCTAACACACTAACTAACTCTTGTTCACAGCTCAGTCCGTCAACAATCCTCCGGTGTTTCAACTTCCTGTCAACAACTCCGTCGTCATCACTGATGTGGGTGAGGAATGGGTTCAAATCTCTTATCATCATAAATAATCTGATTATGACCGTAAGCCTTTAACATTATTTCTTCTCACATATCAAAAAGGATGACATTTTACGATAAGATTTTATTAATTAGTTAAGATGAACAATGCTTCTATATAGGGCTGTCAAACGAGTAATCGTGATTAATCGCATCCAAAATAAAAGTTTGTGTTTACATAATATGGTATGTGGGTTTTATATATATATATATATATATATATATATAAACACACACACATGCTTGTATATGTTTAAGAAATATTTTAATGTATATACTGTATATAGATTTATATATCATTTATATGATATGTAAATATAAATATTTTATATATAAATAATATTTTTTCTTAAATATACATTTCATTAAATATACATATACATATATATACAAAATAATTATACACAGAGCACCCACATATATTATGTAAACACAAACTTTTATTTTGGATGCGATTAATCGCGATTAATCGTTTGACAGCCCTACTTCTATAGCATTTATTAATTTTGGTTGACGTTCATTTCAACATTTACTAATGCATTAACAAACAATTAACGTGCATTTTTATTAAATAACATTTACAAATATGATTAAATGTTGTACATTGTTAGTTTGTTATTTAATAAATTATCTAATTTTAATAAACGAGACCTTATTGTAAAGTTGTCTATGATTTAAAAAAAATAATTAAAGTTTTTTTTTTCTCAAAATCTTAATATTATAAACAGTATTTTAAATATTTAAATATAAAACCACAGGTTTTCATTCTAGTTTGTTTCTTATTTTTTTTTAATTACATTTTTTTCTCTTTATTGTTTTTAGTTTTCATAGTAATTTTACTATAGTAGTAAAATGACAAATGCACATAAGATTAAGTTTTATTTAAAAAAAAAAAAGATTGCTATTTATTTCTATTTTAGTTTTTGTTGATTTCCTGTTAATAATTTTAGCGCTTTCAGTTTATTGCCAAAGCAACATTTCTAAATTTCATATAATAATTTTTTTTTAAATCAACTGACCCGGAAAAACATCACAATTGCACTAGAAATGTTGTATTCCCGTTCCACAACGTCTCAGTGTCGCATGTTCATCATGACCATAATTGAGTATTTCATAAAAATAAAAATAAATTAAAAATCCTGACAGCTCAAATATGTTTATCATTATTTAATTTCCCATCTCAAGGTCCTTATTTTTTTTTTAATTTATTCTATATTAATTTTTTTTTTTTGCAATAACACAACAGAGGTACTGGTGTCTCAACAAATATTATCAATCTTTGGACATGTTTATGTATATGCATATAAAATGATAACAAAAATAGAAATAATACAACAGGCATTTTATAGACCAAAAAAAAAAAGAAGAAGAGAGAAAGATATATCAGTCACTGAGCATCTGCAAGAAAGTTCTCGAAGTCCTTTTATAATGTTGGTGTGTTTTTATGCAAGTTTTCATTGTAATAATGAGCTCTGGAAAGATTTAATGTCACTGTGAAATGGAAACGCCCTGATTGCTGTGGTTTCTCAGGCACAGAACTGATCCTCGTATGCTCTGTCTTCTTTGTGTGTGATGAGTGTCCTGTTCTCTGGCAAAGGAATAAAACCACACTGAGGGAGGACGATGGATATAAGCAGGAAAACAGGTTGATATCTAGAACTTGATTAAAGAAACGTCTTGTTTTGAAAATTGCAGGATGTTTTAATGGTACAAAGACCTCTTACTGTACATGTCAAAAGATCACAGGCAAATCTGATGTCTCATGTCATGACCCCTTTAAAAGAAAAGCAATTCACCATAAACTGATATCCTGCTCTTTAGTTCTTGCAAATTTTCTGATGAAAAATGGATAACGGGTGCTTTTTTCTCCAGAGCTATAGATGGCAGCGTTCAGTCATTATTGTATATTACTAAAGTTTCCGAGTTGGACCTCGTTTCTGAGTTTCGCTGCAGAACTAAAGACTCCTATAGAGTGATGTTTGTATCGGTCACTTTGAAAAGTCGAGGTGAGATGACCTATGATGAATATAACTGAATTAAAATGCATTATTATTTGACCAAATATTTTGGTGCTGTGTATTTTTATGCTCTATATTGTAATGCCTCGTCTTGACTTACATTATAGAGCAAAGTTAATACTTGAATACAATATTGCTAAGATCTCCAATTTAGTATTCATATTTTTATTTGCATACATGTTATTTTACCATTGTAATAATTTGAATGCATGAATGTTAATTTACAAGTCATGAGAAAGTCAAAGCCTTGTTTTCATGTTGTGTTTTAGCATCAACGCACGCTGTGATTCTGGCATGCATTTGCACATTTCTTCTGGTCCTGGTGCTCAGTGGAACAGTCAAGTGGTTTTCATTGGATCTGGTGCTGTTTTTGAGGGAAATTCCCATCAAGTTCAACAGGAAAGAGGGTAAAGAATGTATTTTTAAAATTATTTTAATTCATTTGAAATATAATTTCGTGAAAAGTTAAATATATAATGCAATATTATTTACTAAAATGTATTATAATAGTCCAGTTTTTCAATTGTAAAGGAGTGGGACTGCTAGATATACTATGTGTATGGGGATGATTTATTACTCAGTTTTTATGTCATGTTTTCCAGTACACTCTTAAATCAACGTACATTTACTTGAGAAGTCAAGTTACTTATGATATAAAGTCCTGTTTTCTGAACAAAATCAAACGAATTTTTGCTTAACCCTTGTGCTGCATTAGGGACATTTTTGGTCTTTTGCAGTTTAATTTCTTTGGCTGTTTTAATGCAAATGGTATGAAATTTGGCAAAATTGTGACTTTTTGGATAAATGTAAAAAATGTGATCCCATTTTGCAAAATATGTATAACACGCACTGTGTAGATCAAATAGTAACACTCAGCACCAAAAATGGCCCATTGAAACCCATTAAAACGTTGTTTAAATCAGAGGCTGTCATTAATACATGAAACATGATTTTTGCTCAAACATCCTTTCATTTTGAAGCAAAAGCATTATATTTGCATTATATAGTGTATTCCACCAGATGACATCACTACATATGTATTCCCAATGGGTGGAAATGCACCTTATTTTCCTGGTTTCCAATTAAAGGGTTAAAATCCTGAAACTGAATACATTTTTTGGTATTTATGATGAGGACTGATGCTGATTAAAAGATTTAACTTGGTAAAAGTGGAAAATAATAATAATAATAAATAATATTTTAGGAAATGTTTAATATGGGGCCATTTTTGGTCTTTAACGCGCTAAGTGTGATTTTTTTTTTTTTTTAAATCTGGCATAACACAAAATCTTTAAATGCACCAGAAATATTGTTGCTGCTAATCTTTGACATATTCAAGACTGTGATAATCCAAATCTAAAGTTTTCTCTTTGCATTTAGTTTATTGAGAATAATTTAATTTTTGTGTTTTTTCCTCTTATACAAATCGATGGTTTTGCCAACAAAACTGGTAATTAAAGGGTTAAAATCCTGAAATTGAATACATTTTTGGTAGTTATGATGAGGACTGATGCTGATTAAAAGATTTAACTGGGTAAAAGTGGAAAATAATAATAATATATAATATTTTAGGCAATGTTTATTATGTGGCCATTTTTGGTCCTTAATGCACTCAACAGTGTTAAAAATCTAATGCAGCACAAGGGTTAAAACAAGAAAAAATATGTGGTCAGAAAAAGAATCTTGTTTTCCCTTTTTTTTCTGACCCCATTGGCAGATTTTTTTTTGTTTAAAAAATAAACACTTTAATTTAATGCATTCTTATGTTTAGATGTATAATGTGAGTGTGAATACACATATGACTACAATGCAAAATGCTTGTTTTGACAGATGGGAAGCTGTATGATGCTTATGTGATTTACCAGAGAAACTCGGATGAAACGACAAGCAAAACTGTGAGTGACTTTGTGAATGGATCTCTTCTAACAGTGCTGGAGAGATACTGTGGCTATAAACTCTTTATTCACGGCAGAGACGACCTACCTGGGGAAGGTACGCTTCTGTTCGAAACATCTCGCAGTGAACCATTTTTGATATGTTGTGTGATGAACATTGCAAAAACAATTATGCTGTTCCTCAGTATTTCCTGTACAAATATCTAAACATGCAAATCAATATGCATGGAGAAGCAAAATGACTGAAGTCTTGTTTTCTGTAAAAATGCTTCAAAATGAAGTGACTTATAGCTTATTTGATATTTTTATTTTTATTTATTTATTTAACCCTTATTTAACCAGGGAAATCCTTTGAGTACAAGTCTCTTTTGCGAAGGAGCCCTGGCCAAGAAGGCCGCAGTAAAGGTTCCACATAAAATACAAAACAAAAATAAATACAATAAACATACAAGACATAATAAAAAAATTAACAGTTACAATGCTTAAAAAGTAAAATACAATGACCTTACAACAGTTAAAAATATTATACAAAATGAACATTTGGTTCAAAATGAACAATATTGTTTTAGGCATAAAGTTAATTTCATAATATCCTCCCCTAACGTCAGAGCATGCCTCAGTGACATTGAGACGTGGTCTGGGAACCACATGTTCATTTTCTCGTATTTGAGGCGTGGTTTACGAATGCCCAGAGCCGTATTATTGGGTTATACATATCAAATGTGCGTCTACGTAGCCCAGATGACATGAAAGCGACACGGCAGAAGTCGATGGGTCAGAAATTTATGATGGTGTATTGAAAGGTAACTTCGCATCTGCTGCCATGTTGGATCCATAGGTATAAACAAACTGCTTCGGTGTGTGGCATAGACGTCGTCATCGTCTTGCTGCTCCCTCCCCGTTCCCCGTTCCCTAGATCTGGTCCATGGTGTCCAGACTGCCTAGGAGCGTGAATAAAATCGCTCTGCGCAAAGGCAGCAACCAGGATACCCTTTTCATAAAATAAGACTTTGAAATTAATGTTTGGTATGTTTTATCTTACCTCAAGGGCATCCAAGATGTAGGTGTCTTTGTTTCCACAGTATTTTAAATTTTGATATTTTTAGGTCAAACCGTTCATATAATGGAGGTCTATGGTCACCACCTCAAAGAGCGTGCACAGAGAAGTCCAGATTAAACATGATTTAATGACTCATAAATGTAAGTACACATTGATGGCCTAAGACACAAAACGAGCGGTTTGTGTGAGAAAACGAACTGTATTTATATCGTTTTTACCTCTTGTAATCACAGCCACGTCCAAATAATCTGAGGGCTCTCTGTGATCTCTCGCGGTTGCAAAAAAATTCAGCGTTGTCTGTTGATATATTGAAATCGTCTTCCATTGTGATTTCCTGTATATCTAAATATGATTAGATCTTCACAGTGAAGGGTAACGCTTCCAAAATCTCTGTGTAAACAATGAGTGACGTACCGCAGACCGAAGCGCCCGTGCCCTCAGATCAGTTGGACGTGGCTGTGATTACAAGAGGTAAAAACGCTATAAATACTGTTCGTTTTCTCACACAAACCGCTCGTTTCGTGTCTTAGGCCATCAACGTGTACTTACATTTACGAGTCATTAAATCATGTTTAATTTGGACTTCTCTGTGCATGCTCTTTGAGGTGGTGACCATAGACCTCCATTATATGAACGGTTTGACCTAAAAATATAAAAATTTAAAATACTGTGGAAACAAAGACACCTACATCTTGGATGCCCTTGAGGTAAACTAAAACATAGCAAAAATTAATTTCAAAGTGAACTATCCCTTTAAAGCATATTAAAAACACCACCACTGGGGGACTTTAAATAAATTTGCTTCTGAAGTAATCAAAGATACTGAGGAACATCCTAATATTTTCTGCTGTGTGCAATAGATACACTGGTGCTTTTTGATGCATGTTTCTCAAACGTTCCATGTTCCTTCCTGTGTCTTAACCAGATTGCATGAACCTGATTGAAACTAAGATACAGCTTAGTCGGAGGCTTATCATCATTTTAACACCAGGAACAAGTAGCATATCTCCTGAAGCTTATGATCTGCAAGTGGGGATTCATCAGGCTCTGGTACAAGGAGAAACCGGTGTGATTGTCATCCAGCTGGGGCAGATTCGGGACTACACACACCTGCCTCTCGGACTGCAACATCTCCTCCGCAAGAATAATCCTTTACTGTGGAGAGACGGCCAATCCTCACCGACCTCGAGGTTCTGGAAGACAGTGCGATACAGGATGCCAGTCGCCTCATCCCATCAGAAAAGTTCGGAAAAATATCACTTGAAGGTCTGAGATTTCCAATTTAAATCAAGACAGGCTTTTAGGTTCAGGATTTTACAAGCATTTTCTTAACCATCCTATTATATTTGGGGTCAATATGATTTTTTTTCTTCTTCAGATTTAATGACTTTTCCTAATTTAATGCGGACAACTTTTTAGTTGTATAATACAGAATAAATATTAAAATTATACACACATGTGGATGTCAACTTAAAAAGATATTAATTTACCTGAGACAAACCTTTGTTTAAAAAAAAAATCATATTGTAGAGGTTTAAAATAAATTACTCCACAATAAAAATGTTATCAGATTTGAGGGTAACAGGAAGTTTAAAAAAGTCTTGAGAAAAATACGCAAGTGTGCGATTCTGGTATATTATATATTTCTTGATCAAATATATTTTCTTGGGAACGTCTTAGTTCAAGAACAAAATGACAGGCTTAACAATATTTGGTGAGGACCCATATTTAACTAATTTTTGTAGAATTATTACTCAATTTTTAAATTCAGCAAAAAGTCATGTCGGACATAATCATGAGCAATCATAGTTTGCATCATTGAACATTAGTGGCACTTCAGAGAACTCTGTAAAAGTTTGGTGTCACTACTGTGATGCATTTTATTTTTCTGGATTCTTTGATGAATAGAAATGTCAAAAGAACAGCATTTTAAAACATTTATTTTTTTGTAACATCTGTCACATTTAATGCTTCCTTGCTATATAAAAGTTTTATGTGTGTTGTAATGCTTATACAGCAATTAATTCGAAAGAACCCAATAAATTCATAAAACATTTGTGGATTTAAAACAATTTGGAGGGTTTTTGAGAATATTTGCGATGATGATAATGCCAAAATAATAAACAGGCTTTTTGTGTCACATATACAGTATAGGCTATATTTAAACATTTTGTCATTATATTTCTATTCCATTCTTACTATTCCATTCTATTTACATAGATTACACAAATTACACACATTACAATAATATTTTTGTGGTGGTGCCTATAAAAATAGTTCTGTACAAATGAAATGAATTAATTGTATATTTAATAAAATGTATGCATCTACTACCTGAACTTGTTTGATGTTTTTTAAACAAGTTTTACAGAAAGAGTGATTTATTCGACAAATTTAGCCTAGACTATTGAAAATTGGTTCAGAGAATGGGGTTTAGTGTTTTAGCAATTCAGAAAAATCAACTTAAAAAATAATGTCTTTTTCGTTAAACGTCATTTTTAAATAAACGAATATTCGAATATTTGATTTTTATTAGCCCGAATATTCGAATGCAATATTTTTTTTAAATGCCCATTCCTTAGCAGAACTGCCTTTGAGTGTTAAATATCTTAGCAACCAATGGTTCAATACCTTAAAGTATTTTTAAAAAGAAACGTAATTACTGTCTTTTTACAGTAGGCCTAATAAAAGCATAGCCTACTCAAACGGCGCGAACAGTAAAAAAAAAATGCCTATAGTAATAAAACAGATTGCACCAGATCGTACAGAACGTACACACACTCGAGTCAGCATATGATTATCGTGTTTACATTGCTTCACGTTTTATATTGAGAAAAACAATAATATCCACATAGGGGTGATGATTTGGATACAGCCCATGAGCTCATATCGATCAGGACATAGTGTGCAGCGCCATCTTGTGGGACCGTGACAACTCCTTAAAGTCACCATGATATCATTTTTATAAACGATTTCCAAATATAAAAAAAACTGCAATTTTCCAAAAATAAATAAAATTGTGTGTGTTTTTTTTTTAATTTCATGGTGACGTCAAGAACAGAGACAAACCTGTTCAGATTATTTTTCGATACTTTTTATTATTTATTTTATTTTTTGCTACTTTGATTGTAATGCTCTTTACTTTTAATAATAATAATAATAATAAAAACTATTCTGAACCTGTTCTGAACAGAGACAAAAATCGGGTGTTTTATTTTATTTTTTATAACATTTCAGCGTTCTTCAATCTATAACGCTATAAATAGCCTATAATTTCAAAGCAGCCTCAAGATTATTGCTTTATTTTGTGTATTCACTTTATAATGCGTTCTGTGGATCATGTTCTTTAAGTTATAAAATAAAACCTAAAAATAACCTGCAAGGAACGTGCATGTTCTCTCTCGGTTATGAAATAAAATAATAATAAAAACAGCAGGGAAATTTCTGGGAAGGTTCACTTTAAAAAGAGAAGATATGGTTCCCCAAAAACCAAATGGGAACGTTAGGGAACGATTTGTTTTCTGGGAAACTGCTACTTTTTCCTCTCAATTGAGAGTTTATATCCACTGATCTATATAAATGATTTATATAGATCTATTCATTTAAATAGACCAGTCAGTGAGAAAATGTGAATGAATCTATGGCGCCAGAAATCCCAGAATGCTTCACTCTCTGCCCTGTCCGGCGCGATCAAGCCTGTCCTTTCAAATTGTTTTATTTTCACCAAATCCATTTGTAGGAACTCTTCCTGTTCACAGAAGAGCCAGGCACACTTTTATTAATGTGTTTTGGTGAGAATATTTCCACACGGATTCCTGTCAGTAACTCTGTTGTTGACGCGTTGCTATGGTGACGCGGCGCTCATATTCACCACGCGGTTGCTGCTGAACCGGCTGAAGAACATTATCGTCATCATCATCATCATCATCATCATCACAATCCTCGGGGTTTATGGATCATTATGAGGTTATTCGACAGGTCGGTCAAGGCGCGTTCGGGAGCGCGCTTCTGGTCAAACACCGACACGGAGACGATGAGCTGCTATACGTCATCAAAGAGATTCACCTGAGACAGGTAAAGTTAGATCCGAGCCACTTCTGACTGCTTGACGTTACAAATAAAATGTCATTTCATAATTTGTGACTGTGTGCTGGAGATTTTCTGTAAAGCTTCTTTGAAACTTGGCTATTTAGACAGATAAACTTGAATCCGATCATGACAATTCTTCAACATTCATAGGATTATTTTTCAGATTAAGGAGAAAAATAAAGGTTGGTTTGTTGGTTGGCTGTTGACAGTTAACAGGCTATACATTAAAACACATAGATTCTGAACTACATTTTTCAAAATACTCAGTTTGGCAATGACAGCAGGAAACTGAACTCTTAGTACTGTTGTTTAGAGTAGCTACCCAGTGAGCCAATGTATAGAAAAAAATAATGTAGGAACCAGATTTAAATATGAACATATCCTTAAAAGACGCTATTTAGGCTTCTGAATTAGTTTTTGTGAGACAATTTTAGCTGTTATAATGTATCTTTTAGTACTATAGAATGACTGTTTTAAAATCATGATGTGCTGCTGCAGTCTCTGATCCGTTCATGTGGGATGAGACCTGGGTTAATGGGATCTGGGAATAGAGAACAGGAGAAACTGGTGTG